ACGTGGCCAGGTGTCGGCCTGTGCGTGCGTCCGTGCAGTGGGTCACCCGCTGACTCGCAGGAGTGAACTGGTGAACCCCCGCATCTTGTAGGTCCGCACCACTCACCAAGTTCGTCGAGAACGAGGGAAGGTACAGGCCAGACAGTGTGCCCGAGGGGGCAGCCGGACACGAGAGGACAGTAGAGAAGTGAGAGAGGACAGGGCCCCCAGAGGGGTCAGCCAGGGAGACGATGCTCCTACAGCGACGATCCTCTTCTCCGCCGCGAGGAGGACCTTCTCGAGGACGTCGACGGTGAGGGTGGTGGGACAGACTCCGAGAAAGTGGTCTCTGACTACGCGAAGGGAGTCAGGGAGGCGCGCGACTACGTAGTAGAGAGTGATGTACATGGGGGGGGGGTTCTTAGCACAGAACTCAGCAGGAAGGGCGGCGCGGTAGCGAGTGTCACTAGTGCGGAGGTGCGTAATGAGGTCAGCGACATTGGGAAAGGCAGAGAGGTCAGGAAAGAGGTAGGGAAGCATGAGTCGGCTCAGTGCAGCAGTGGCAGGGGAGGAGTAGCGCGCAACTACAGCGTCGTACAAGGTCTGAGCACTCTTGTACTGACTAAAGTGCGCGCGCTCAAAGGTAGGGAGGTGGCGACGCATAGCAAGACGTGCAGCAGCATCGCGGGTGGCCCACTGAGAGCGCACAGTGGGATTAGCATCAGCAGCAGGGGCAGGAGAGGCGCCAGAAATGAGGTCAAAGAGAGAGAGGCCGTCTGCCCTATCGCACTGTAAAAACAACTACAGGTCGTCGACCCAGACCTCAAAGTCAATGGCGCGACCCTCAGCGTCAAAAGCTAGGACACTAGGGGTAGCCATGATGACGACAGCGAGGCAGTGCAAGCAGTAGGGGAAGAGCACGCAGTGATAGTGGGACTGTGCTCACCAGGCAGGGCAGGCCGGGCAGCTATGTAGAAGGGCGGCTCGGCGACTCAGCGACTCGGCTGCTGGGCGGCTCGGCGACTCAGCGACTCGGCTGCTGGGCGGCTCGGCTCCTGGGTGGCTCGGTGTCGGGTGGCTCGGGTGCAGGGCGGCTCGGCTCCCGGGCGGCTCGGTGTCGGGCGGCTCGGGTGCAGGGCGGCTCGGCTCCCGGGCGGCTCGGGTGCCGGGCGGCTCGGGTGCGCTGCTGCTCGGCGGCTGCAGGTGGGCGGCTTGGCTGCTGCAGGTAGGGTGGCGGGGCCGCGAGACCAGAGGCGGCGGGGCCGACGGTGCAGGGACGGCGGGGCCGGAGTAGCAGGGCCGGCAGGTGCAGCGGCGGGGACGGCGGGGCCGGCAGGTGCAGCAGGGAGGGGCCGTCAGGTGCAGCGGCGGGGACGGCAGAGGGGACAGCGGGGCCGTTTGAGGGGACGGCGGGGCCGTCAGGTGCAGCAGCGGGGCCGGCAGAGGGGACGGCGGGGCCGCGTCTGAGCGGACGGCGGGGCCGCGGCTGAGCAGGCGGCGGGGCCGTGTCGTAGTGGGCGGCGGGCCGCGGCTGAGTAGGCGGCGGGGCCGCGCCAAAGCTGGCGGCGGGGCCGCGTCAAAGCAGGCGGCGGGGCCGCGTCAGAGCAGGCGGCGGGGCCGCGTCAAAGCAGGCGGCGGGGCCGCGTCAAAGCAGGCGGCAGGGCCACATCGAAGCAGGCGGCGAGGCCGCGTCAAAGCAGGCGGCGGGGCCGCGTCAAGGCAGGCGGCGGGGCCGCATCAAAGCAGGCGGCGGGGCCGCGTAAAAGCGGGCGGCGGGGCCGCGTCGTAGCGGGCGGCGGGGCCGCGTCTGAGAAGGCGGCGGGGCCGCGTTCGAGCGGGCGGCAGGGGCCGCGTCTGAGCAGACGGCGGGGCCGCGTCGTAGCGGGCGGCGGGGCCGCGGCTGAGCAGGTGGCGGGGCCGCGTCTGAGCAGGCGGCGGGGCCGCGATCGAACTGGGCGGCGGGGCCGCGTCTGAAATGGCGGCGGGGCCGCGTCTGAAGGGGTGGCAGGGCCGCGAGGGAAGGGCGACACGGAGGGTCGCTCGAGCGAGAGGAAAAAAAAAAAAAAAAAAAAAGCTAGCGCGCCTCGGGGCGCGCTTCGGTGGGCCCTAGGCAAAGTTCCCACAGGGAACCTGCTCTATACCATGTGAAACTTGTACAACAGGAATGAAATGACTAAGTCAGGGTTGGGTACAAATACAACCCTAGAGAGCTGTACCCCATATGTGCTACCCCACTATAGCCTACAAACATGCATCAGCTATAGTAATCTGACATTTTATACCTGATCCAGAAGCGGGAGATGAAGCAGCTTATCCCGAGGATGTAAATCTTCCCCGCTACTCATAGAGTGGACTGCAGATTCTCGGGCTCGTCACCGCAGTCCACGGCTCCGTCACTCCTAAAGAGCTTGCGACGGGTCAGCCGGCTCTAGGGGGGGAACATAAAGAAAAATGGCGCGAAGCCGTGGAGAAGGAGCTGAAGGCACTGGAGGAACGCAACACGTGGAAGGTGGTTCCTATCGGCGTGGCACGGAACAAGACAGTTGTCACCGGGAAATGGGTCTTCTGTGTGAAGACAAAGGCCCATGAAACCATCAACAAATTCAATGCACGCTGGGTCGTTTGTGGCTTCGACCAAGAGCACGGACGCGACTTCACCGAAACATTCGCTCCAGTCAGCCGACACACCTTGCTACGCATCCTTCTCGCGATCGCTGCCATGAAGAAGAAGAAGCTAAGGCAAATCGACGTCGCTAATGCATTCCTCTACGCACGCGTCGACGCCGAGATCTTCGTCGAGCTACCACACGGCTCCAGCACGGACTCGAAACACGTCTGCCAACTACTCAAGTCACTCTACGGCATCAAGCAAGCCCCGCGACTATGGCAACAATACCTACACGCTCGCCTCATTCGCATCGGCTTCAAGCAACCGCCGCACGACTAGGGCATGTACCGGCTTTCGAAGGGTACCGACTACATCCTGCTAATCGTCTATGTAGACGATCTACTCTACATTGGCTCAACCGAAGGCATTACAACATGGTTCGAAGGGGAGCTACAGCAAGACCTCACACTCATGGTCTCACCTACCGTCACACAGTACCTCGGCCTCAACATCAGAGAAGAAGAAAACGCTATCTACCTCAGCGCCGCGAAATACGCCGACACCATCGCCAAGCGTTTCGCACTCACACCAACTACTATCTCCACACCGTACCGCTACACGACAGTAAGCAACAAGGAAGGCTCCACTCTACTCAAGCCCGCCGACATCCGCGACTACCAAAGAAAGCTGGGCTGCCTTCTCTTCGCAACTGTGACCTGCCGCCCAGATTTATCTTACTCTGCAAGCCAGCTCGCCACCTACCTCAAGAGGCCTGAAGCGGAACATGTGGCGGAGCTCGACCGCGCTCTTCACTACCTATTCAGTACGCCGACGATCAGACTAACTTATCATAATAACGCAACTGCAACGCCTAAGCTAATCGGCTACGTCGACGCAGACTACGCGGGCGACTCCGACAACAGGCGATCACGTACCGGCTACATCTACCGCCTCGAGCCTTTCGGACCTATCTCCTGGCAATCGAGCAAACAAGAACTAATTGCTCTCTCGTCAGCTGAAGGAGAATATATTGCACTCTGCTCAGCCACCAAGGAAGGACTCTATCTTCGCGAGCTACTGGAAGAAGCGAAGTTAGCCAAGTTACACAACTTCACCCTGTTCTGCGACAACCAGTCAGCAATTCGCATCGCCAACAAGAACGGCTTCGCGAACAGGACAAAACACATCACCCTACGATATTTCTTCGTGAAGGACGAGATCGAGAAGGAAAGGCTTGAGCTGTCATACTGCCCTACGTCCGAGATGGCAGCTGATTACCTGACCAAGAAGCTCGGAAAGCAGAAGTTCGAATATTGCATGCTGCTGACTGGACACAGCCACGTCAGCGACACTCCAGAAGCGAAGGGGAGTCTTGGAAACAATCGTTCCTAAGCGCCTCTATCGTGTCGAAACACTAAGGCACAAGCGAAGTAGAGCATATCGAGGCACCAACGAGTCAACCCTCGGAGGTTGAAATAACCGCTGGAGGTTACGCGAAAGTCAAAGGTCTGCGACCTTTGACCTGACAAATGCAGTGCGACAGCAAGGACACACAACTGACTCGACATTGAGCAGTTGCCCGAGTCGCACTGTATAGAACCGCAACAGTAAAGTAGTTATAATTATGTCTCTTCATATTCTCTGTATTCATATATATATTAGGACATGTGTCATTTCCACGGTGCAACCCACAATTAAGTAGTTATTAGGGCGTGTTCCTACGGCCCCTTATCAGGGCAACCTCTTATCAAGCTCGCTACTTTTCCCCCTGAAAATTCCCTAAACCCAAAAACCCTCGCTACTTTTACCAGGCAAGGCTGACAAGAGGTTTGCCTGATAAGAGCGTAGGAACACGCCCTTAGCCAAAATTGTCACTATCAACGAGTTGGAGACTCCACAACAATTTCCGCATTGGCATCTGCAGCTTGGAGCTGTTGGGAACAAGCAGTCTTAAGCGCCTCGGTCGTGTCGAAACTCCAAGACACAAGCGAAGCAGCGCAAACCGAAGCACCAGCGAGTCAACCCTCGGAGGTTGATGTAACCGCTGGAGGTTACGCGAAAGTCAAAGGTCAGCGACCTTTGACCTGACAAATGCAGCGCGACAGCAAGGACACACAACTGACTCGACATTGAGCAGTTGCCCGAGTCGCACTGTATCGAACCACAACAGTTAAGTAGTTATAATTATGTCTCTTCATATTCTCTGTATTCATATATATATTCTTGTATCCCTTTGCTTTAATCAACTTACTTTGCCCTCACATACTAGCGCAAGGTGGTTCAAGGACTTCACTAAAAACGCTTCCGCTACTACATCGTTTACTCAGACTTTAACTCTACCAAAGATCCTAGGGCGTTTAGCCCAACAGGAGCAATCCCTGAAGACGCGAGGTGACTTATGAGTCGACTCAAGTCAATCAATTGGAGACTCCACAACAATCTCTGCAGTGGCATCTGCTGCTCGCAGCAATCCTTGCAGACACGGCAACACACCAACTGCATCCCTCCTCACCCTCCCTCCCGCTCCTGCTGCTCCTCCTCCTCCAGATCCACTCCCACAGACGCTGCCACTCCCTCCACTGCTCTTGAGTCTCCTCACATGCTCCTTCACCTGTGCTATCACCGCATCCCTATGCCCGTCACGGCACAAATAAGAAACCACCTCTGAAGCTGGCTGCGTCATCAGAAGCAGATCCATCCCATCACTCTCCATCTCAGCACCATCCCTCCCAGCACTATCCCTCCCCCCCCTCTCACTCCCACCTGCCCCACTATAACCACTCTTCGAAACCTCCTCGTTCGCTCTTTCCATAGAGACCCTTCCTCCTCCTGTCACCGTTCGGGCCTTATCCCATCCCTGTGGACCGGCAACCCCAGTGTGCCTCTCATGCTGTTCCATGCTCCCACAATGCACCTTACCTGTAAGCACTGCTCCCAACCCAGCTCCAAACCCCATTCCCACGCCCACCCCCACGCCCATCCCATTCCTTCCCCTGCTCTGATGTGACAACACCAGCGCCTGCCCCTTAATCTGAGAAAGCGGAACCTTCCGAGAAGTTCCCCTGGCCGGTTCGGCAAACACTGTTCCCGTGACACCCTTGTGACTCCCCTGGCTGCTGCTGTGAAAGCTCCTGCCATTTTCGGGGTAAAGAGTGGAAGACACCCTTTCGCCATGCAACCCGGAGGTGGAGGTGATAAGAGTCTCAATGGCAGACGCTAGATCCCCCTCGTTGCCAGATTCATCAACAGCCCCGTCCGCATCATCCCCTGCTCCATCTCCCCCTGCTCCCTCTCCCATTGCTTTCTCTCCCCTTGCTTTCTCTACCCCTGCTCTGTCTTCCCCTCCTGCACCACACCCTGCTTTGTCTTCACCAGTGCTACAAGCATCGCGGTTACCACCATCAGCACCAGCACCGTAACCAGCAGTACTTGGACCATGATAATCACCAGCAGCACCCTCTGTGCGCTCAGCATGCTCACCACAGTCCCCTCTGGCAGCATCACAGAGAAACTTCTCATCTCCATTCGTATCAACGTCGGACTCATCAGCCCTATCAGCATCACCATCACGCCCAGCCCGCCCAAAGAGACCATTCGCAGACCTATCAGATGCAGCTGTGACCCTTCCACTGCCCGCAGCTTCCCCTCCTCTGCTCCCCGAACCGTTCCACCACCATTGCCAACCCCTCTTCCTCACCCCTCTGCCTTGATCCCCCACTTCGCTTCCTACGCCCCCCTCTCCTGTTTCCGTCCTCCTCACCAACCACAGCAGATACAGCCGCAGCAGCAGCAGCAGCAGCAGGGGAGGCGTCAGCAGTGGTGTATACGCCAGGGGCGGACGCACAGGCAGCACGAGCATTGGGATGGGCCGGGTCGACTCGACTCTTTTCCACACCCACCACCATGCCATCTCCCACCGTCCTCGCAGCTGCTCCCTCTGCTCCAGACTCGCCATTTCCCTCCATCTGCCGTGCTCTCTTCCTCATATTCCCCTCATTCTCCTCAGTTTCCCCATTTTCTTGGGTTTTCTCTTGTGCATCACCATCCCTCCTGTCTCTTACCTTAAATTTATGATCCCCTTTCCCCTCGAGCACTGCCCTGTCAACCCTGTCGCCGTCCCTGGTAACCCCACCACCCCTGACCAGCCACTCATTTCGCCCTGTGTTTGCCAACCACTCCCTTTGATCCGGCTCCTCCCATCCCATTCCTTCATCCGCCGCTGTCCCAACTGCTTTCACAGCATCTCTTGTCTCCAACGCCTCACTAAAACCTACTACCTGTGAGACTCCCACTTGTGCCCCTGCAACGTTCCCTGCAGCCCTTGCCCCTGCGAACTCCCCACCATGTGACATTCCGCCAGGTACCACGGTGTCCCCTCGCCCCACAAACTCCAACTTCCCCCAGACCTTCCCCTCGGCCTTCCGCTTCCCCACAGAGTCTCCCTCCCCCGAAGCCTCTCCCTTCTCCGCAGCCTCTCCCCTCCCAGCGGCCTCTCCCCTCCCCGAAGCCTCCCCTGTCCCCGCGGCCTCTCCCCTCCGCGCGGCTTGCGCGCACCCCTGGGTGACGGGAAACCGCCCCCCCTCCAGTTGGCTCAGACTCAACGGCGGAGGGTGAAACGGTCCAGTTGGCACGATCCCATTGGCTCGCACGCACGCATGCAGCCACTCCTCAGTAACCACCGCCACGTTACCCCACCGCATCGCGCATTCGTACTTGTCTCCGGAAGCCACGGAGCAGACGAGATGCGAGATCCGACGGTCCATCTTCTCCGTATGGAGCGCGCCGAGCGCGATGCAGAGACAGCGGATGTTGGTGCGCCGCATGCCGCCGTATTGCGAGACGCAGAGTCGGAAGGATTTTATTCCCGGAAGGGGGATCGTGCAGGGGAGGGGACGGAGAGCGAGATGGGATGAAGGGTCGATTAAGCGATTCTCTTGATGCGACCTGTACACCCAGTGCGCCGAGACGACGCGATGCGACAAATGCGACGGATGCAATGGCGGCTGCGATTGGTCCGCGCTCCCGTGAGCTTTCACGATTATCGGCGACGCGTGGCGTGACGCGTCGCTGATGACCGTGCCGCCGCCCGCCATGATGACTCGATATAAGCAGTCTCGAGTAACAGACGAAAGGGTCGGGCTGAGGAAGAACACCTCATTTTGGAAAACTGACGAGAACGCCATGTGACTCGGCACGGGAATTTCGGCCCGTCGCAGCGACGACGTGGTAACCTGGCTCATACTACTGGCGATAGCGAAGACTCATCCACCAACAGCTGTGACGGCGAACATTTATCGATGTGTGGGAGGAAGGTGGGCGAGAGAAAAGCCGGGGTTTCGTCTCCTACGGACACCGACACGGAGCTCAACCAGCCAAGAGTTTGATGGTTTAGAATGGATGCCTGGGCGTGAGCTGCCTGCTACTACTCACCTAGTTTGAATTTGTGGATTGAGCTACTGATGACTTGAAGGCTAGTAGCAGCCTAGATTCTGGAAGGGAGGAAAGGAGATGGGCCGTACGGGAAACCCGATGTAGGGACGTACCTAGGGAGTATGGTGGCTGATCCTAATTATGCTGAAACGGTGCGAAACTCAGAATGTTACAATTTCCCTCTTCGCGACAACTTCGAGGTCGTTCAGTGTTTTGACGACAGGTTTGCGACGTGGATGTTTTTGACTGACTCGCTGAGTTACCTCATCCACTGTGCTCTGACAAGCCAGTGGGTGTAGTTGTTTTCCCGCGCCCTCAGCTTCTCCCAGACCAAATTTCCAGGCCTGGGGCCGGCTCGACGCGTCGCCGGGGGCTCGAATGATTACTGTAGTCACTCTCGGTGGCTGGTACACCACATCTGGTTCGGCATTCAAAGTCACGGAATGCTTGTTTAGCAATATGTAGGTGAAGAATGTTTTATTTCGTTTTAGATCGGTTCTCAAAGTTATGGTGGAGTATTGTGTGTCTTAGCTTTGCACATCTCCGATCATTTCTGGGTGTGCCTTGGTTCTTGCTTCCTCCTTTCATGATAGCTTCCGTTTTGCATGGAAACCAAGTTATGACAGCAGTGTGAATCTATGCATAAAGCATGTCATTACCAAATGAGAAGCCCCAGGCGTTACCCTCGCGTTGTAGTTAGGTCATATCAGGCCGACTCGACTCAGTCACTCAACACAGCAGACAGTGGTAGGATGCAACGGTAGTGTTTTGCAGGCTATAAATTCGACTTAGTGTCGCTTGATCGTATCTATCAGTGTTCACGGCGAGGTATGCGTCGTACTGCGGAGATCGTTTCCGATCAACGGCAACAAGCGCAATAGCACAGCAGGTCAGCTCAGCATTACACTGCACTGCACAGTAGCCCATAATAGCGCACAGAATCGCACAGCAGCCCATAGCACCGCACAGAAGTCATCATGGCTGCGCAGGACTCCGCGAGGCCGCACAAGAGCAGGCGAGTGCTGATTGTGGCGTGGGCCGTCATTTCCACGCTCCTCAACTTCATCCTCCTGCTTCAGACACGCGACCCCGATACAAGCACTGGCAGTTCCGTCAACAGCGAATCGAGCCTGCAAGGTACTGTGCGTCGCAACGTTTGTCGCGCTGCATGAGGAGTTTCGTGCCGCTAGCTGTCCTTCTCTGCGTGGATTTGTGCATGAGATGTTGGCGAATCTGATTCGCGCAGGTCATTTTAAACAAGGTGCTCCTTATCAGCCGTCGCATGCTCGTCACCTCGTTCCTCCCCTCGGCTTCCTCACCTCCTCTCCTCCCTCTCCGCTGCCTCTTAAGTCGACTCAAATCTTTCTCGTTTCCCGCTTTCTCCCCAAACCCTTCCTTCCCCACTACTCCTCCCTCCCTTTCCCCCTCCCCCCCTTCCCCCCCCTCCCCTTCCACCCCCCGCCCCGCCAACCTCCCCCCAGCTGCTCAACTCCCCCTTGTATCCGCGCGGCCCCGTCCAAACACCCTTTAAAACCATCCGCTGCTTTTTTCGACAACTCAAAGCTCTCTCTTCCCCCGCATCCTTCCAACACCCCCCTCCCCCGCCCCGCCAGCCTCCCCCCCGCTGCTCAATTCCCCCCTCTATCCGCGCGGCCCCGTCCAAGCGCCAGCGGAAGCAGCCTGCTGGCACCGCCAGCGGTACCCCGCCTCGCTCAGAGAGGCGGTGGAGGGGCGCACGGACCCATGGGCGCTCATGAAGGTATGAGAGAGGCACTAATGAGGGTTTAAGGCTATCATGAGAGTGACTGTGAGTGAGGTTGCATTGAAGGTGCTAGTGCTTCCCCGCCTCGCTCAGAGAGGCGGTGGAGCGGCGCACGGACCCGTGGGCGCTCATGAAGGTGTGAGAGAGGGTGATGGGGGTGATGGGGGTGATGGGGGTGGGGGTGATGGGGGTGATGGGGGTGATGGGTGTGATGGGGGTGATGGGGGTGATGGGGGTGGAGATGAGGCCCGCGGAAGCGGCCTGCTGGCACCGCCAGCGCTACCATGACTCGCTCAGGGAGGCAGTGGAGGGACGCACGGACCCGTGGGCGCTCATGAAGGTGAGGGGGCTTGCGTGGTGTGTAATGTGAGTGACTGTGAGGGTAGAATGAAGGTGCTAGCGCTTCCCTGCCTCACTGAGCGAGGCGGTGGAGGGGCTCACCGATCCCTGGGTGCTCATGAAGGAGAGGCAGATGTTGTGTGAGGGCGGGCTATAACGAGGATAAGTGTGGTACTAAAGAGAAGGTGCCCGCGCTACCCCGCGTCAGGGAGGCGGTGGAGAGGCGCACGGACCTGTGGGCGCTGATGAAGGTGAGAGAGAGGGGTGATGGGGGCGACCGTGAGGGTAGTTGTAAGGTGATGGGGGCGACCGTGAGGGTAGTTGTAAGGTGTGAATGATGCTCGAGTTGAATCAAGGTGCCAGCGCTACCCCGCCTCGCTCAAGGAAGCAATGAAGGGGCGCACAGACCCGTGGCCGCTCATGAAGGTGCGGAAGAGTGCGGTGATGGGGGTGATTGTGTTGTGAGGGTGTACGTATGGTGCTAATAAGCTGCGTAGAGAGCAGCGCAGCTCATTTTTCCCCTCCTCCCTTCTCCCCTGTGCACCCCTCTCTGTGCACCCCTCTCTGTGCACCCCTCTCTGTGCACCTTTCCAGGCCATACCACCCCCATCACCATGCACGGTAGCAGGTCTACAGATAGAACAGCTCGAGCCGCACCTCAACTTGACCTCTCCTTTTCCCCGATGTACCCCCCTGTACCCATTTCAGGCCATACCACCCCCCTCGCCATGCACGGTAGCAGGGTTACAGATAAAGCAGCTAGAGCCGCACCTTAACTTGTTACTCCTTCGTTCTCCCATGTGCACGCGCTCCCCTATACTCTTCCAGGCCATACCACCCCCATCACCATGCGCGGTAGCAGGGTTACAGATAGAGCAGCTGGAACATCATCTCAACTTCCCTCTCCTTCTCCCCTGTGCATGCACTCCCCTGTGCATGCACTCCCCTGTGCATGCACTCCCCTGTGCATGCACTCCCCTGTGCATGCACTCCCCTGTGCATGCACTCCCCTGTGCATGCACTCCCCTGTGCATGCACTCCCCTGTAACCTTCCCAGGCCATCCCTCCCCCCTCGCCCTGCACAGTAGCAGGGTTACAGATAGAGCAGCTGGAGCCGCACCTCAACTTCCGCCGGGGCTATGCATTGAAGCACACAGGCGATGCAGAGGACCGCGTGCATGTGCTGCCGTACTTCAGGGCTCTGCAAGACCCGGTCATGGGGAGACGGTGAGGGACTGGAATGCATGGGCTTACAAGCGATGCTGGGAGTGGTTGGGGCTATGCTGTGAGGCATGTGGGGGATGCAGAGGGCCGCCTGCGCGTGCTGCTGTATTTCAAAGGACCGCAAGACGTGCCATGGGGAGACGTTGGGAGAGAGAGAGAGAGCCGGAGTACCCCTCCACAGGGGTGATGGCCTACCTACGGCAGTGCGCGGAGCTGGCGGCCAAGCTGCGTTTCAATGCAGCACCTACCTCAAACGAGGCCGCTAAACTACTGACGAAGTACCGCCAGCGCTGGAGCGTTTGCCTCCAACGAGTGCAGGCCAATGCCGTCCGCTCCAAGACCAACGAGGCCTTGGAAGCGGACAAGCTCGGCATGCAGGGAGGGACCCATTGCCCCTCTGAGCGAGGGCCAGCTGCACCAGTTGATTGAGCCGATTTTTGAGTCGACTCAAAAATCAACTCGCTACAATGTTGATTTTTGAGTCGACTCAAAAATCAACTCGCTACAATGTCACACGGTTTGTTTTCTACACGGAGAGCTATCGTCGCTTGGAAGTTGCCTAAAAGAGTTGGAAATTATTTAGTTTTTGCTCATAAGAGTTAGTGTAGTGTTTGTTACAGCCCTACAGTACAGCTTCTCGCTGGCCCAGCGAAGGAATGCCTCGCGTGGAGCCCTTGGGAGTAGTATATTAGCTCTAGTTTGCTTCATTTTCATTTTGTGGTCTGAGGAAGGCTATAAGCCAAAACCGGTTACCGCCGAAATTTTCTCCACAAGAGAAAACAAGCAAACTTTTTACTAACAACAATTTTTTACAAGGATTGAACCTAGTTGCTGCCACGTAAAGACTATGGCTCCCGTCTGGGGTTCCATCGGACTTATCAAAGATTCTTCTACGATGGCCGACTACAAGTTCAATGCAACAAAAACATCCAATACCAATGTTGACCGCGCCTCTGAAACTCCATGGACTCAGGGAACTTCGCGTAAACCAGTGAAGAGCCGGTCGCATCGAAGGACTTCACATTCGAAGTTCCTTCAGCACCCAGACCCAGCAAGAGGAGAGCTCTCGCTACCTCAGAAGCTACTCCAGCTGGAACTACTACTGCTCCAGGCATTATACCTGCTACCACGGCTAAGGTTCCTGGACAAGAAGCGGTGCACACCTGTTTGATCATCGACGACGTCAATGACACTATCATGTCTGATGCTCTTGATTTTTTCGGAGAATTTGACAAATCCTTTTTGGAAAAGCAGGCTACTCCGACGTATCTGAGCACGCAGAAGAAGCAAGCCGTCAGTGATTTCAAGAAGCACTTTGGCAAATACGCTGCTTCAGCAACTTACTTTCATGGAAGAGCAGAAGAAAAATGGGATAATCCTGCACTCCATCCGGATCAAGCCTTTTAACTTCGTCTGCAATGTCGAAGATCTTCGTCAGGAAGTTGAAAGAACCTGGAAGCGGCTCGGATGGCTTACTGCCAGAATGCTCAGGATATTGTGATCTCCATGAAGAAGAAAGCTGTTAATAAAGCTTTGAGCGACGCCTGCTCCGTCCACCTCTCCCTACGACACCACATCGACAACTTCATCGACCTTAATAAGAAGTCTGATCTCGGCTTGAGGAATTCTAAGCTCATCGACGGTCTTGATTTCTCTAAAAACAGGGTCTTCGTGGAGTTTAAGCATGAGGTTTCTGTTATCTACATGGAGCCTAACATGGCTGAAATTCTCCTGAAGCAGAAAAATGACGAGATCACTGTTAAGAAAGCAACTGCGGTTGCTGAAGCAGAAAGCTTACCTGTTGACCCTACCGTTCGGGAGATTGCTCGCCAAGAAGCATAAAAAATCCTGAAGCAGTCCTCCTCTAAGTCTCCTGCCAAGAGGAAGAACAGCAACAGCGCAAAGGGCAACGGCTTGAATGCTAAGGTTTCTGCTCATTCCAAATCCAAGAATAACAAATCCGGTGTTATTATCAGGAAGACAAGGGCTAAGGGGAAGAAAACTTCCACTCCGAAAAACGGAAACGGTTCCCGCAACTCTAATGACGCCAAGAAGTCGAAGCAGGATGATGCTGGAAAGGGTTATACCCACCTTAAGAAGCACACTGATGATGCTGAACAGGCTGCTGTTAAGACCGTCGGCCGTTCTTACGCTAAGACTGCTGGTCGCAACGCCGTTGGTCCTCTTGCGAAGAGATCTGCTTCAAAAAACGGGGGAGGTGGAGGCCGCGGAAGAACACAGATGCGTTAGTCGGTGATGTTCATGCATATGCACTGATTCTCTTCGGCAGATAAACCGAGTATCAGCTGCAATGTCGTGTTACCAACCGCGGTCTTCACAACCACAGCAACCATTCGTTTTCACCGAAAGAACTGAATTTACTGAGTCTTGGTCTTAAGTACATACATGTCCCTGTGATTCGTAGTGTCGCTAGCTTCGAAGCGGAATTGTCATCCTTTTTCAGGAGTGTTCATACCATGTTTCTTTTTAATGGAGCTGATTCTCTTGGTTACTCAGGCTACAAACTACCTAAACGAGTCGATTGGTCTCCTCCGCTGGCCTCTCCCGAAATTGAGACGGCTCTGGAGGTTTTCAAAGAAGCAGCCATTAAAGAAATCTCTGGTCAATCTTTCTCTACACTCACCCGCAAGTCGAAGAATATCATTCCGACACTCCGACGCCTTGCAAGGGATCCAAATCTCATTTTTAAACCAGCTGATAAGAACCTTGGACTAACGGTGATGAGCAGGGATTTTTATGAAGACAAATGCTTGAAACACCTGCTTGATCCTAAAGTCTACAAGGAGTATTCAGAGGTTCCTATTTCGGAAATCCTTGGCGAGCTTCATTCTATTCGAGCTGAGTGGAATCCCCTTATTAAAGCTCGGATTTGGGACTCCTTTTTCCATAAACCAAAATCAGGGTGGAAGGTCCCTGCGTTCTACGTTCTTCTTAAAATACACAAGAAGATTCCTGCCGGTCGGCCTATTGCGGCCTGTCATTCATGGATTACCACTAATGCCTCTAAATGGCTTGACTCCGTCCTCCGGCCTCTGGTGCTAAAGCAGTCTACTTACGTCAAGGACTCTAAAAGCCTTATTCTGGAGCTGGAAAAACGGAGCTTTTCTTCTAATCTACTGCTCGCGTCATATGACGTCGAATCTCTCTATCCGTTAATTCCTCTTTGGGACGGTAGTGACGACGTCGATTATTTTCTTCGGAAAGAACGTCATCCGCTTGCACCTGTTATCATCCGCCTTTTGAGATGGGTGATGTTCAACAGCTTTGTGTCTTTCAACGGCCGTTTCTTTCGTCAATTTCAGGCCACAGCCATGGGTACCTCTGTAGCTGTTTGCTTCGCGGTCCTTTTTCTAAGCTACCTGGACATTCAACTGCACTTGTCACTGCACGTTTTTCCCGCCTTACACCGTCGCTTCATTGATGACGGTTTGGTCATGTGGGAAGGGACACGGGAGGAGTTTGACATTTTTCAGAAGCGGTTCGACACCTTACGTCCTTCCAAGGATAAAAAATAGACCGTTTTTTTGATTTTTTACCGTATTATACGGTATCGTATCAAACGATCGTTTTAAACGGTTAAATACGGTTAATTTGTGTTTTTCGGTTTCGATTAAAAATGCGATCGTTTTAAACGACCGATTTTTTGAAACCGTGATACACTATACTGAGATTCACAATTTGTCCGTCAAACAGTCTCATTGTGTGACTAGGCACGAATGTATCGGGGCAGAGTCAATTTTGGCCCAGGGTCGCAAATTCCACGTCACATGCGAGTCGCGACATTGAAATAAATGGACGATGGCGAAAACAGGGATTACCTGTTTCGCTACTGCAAAATTTGTTTCGCCGAAACGCAACGAGAATGTTTGACCGAGTCGCGAGATTTCAATATTTGGCGAACGGGTGAAAGTAGGTCACCCGTTTCGCTATGCCCGCTTCGAAATCTCGCGCCCAATGGCTATTTTTCGCCCAAATCCAAGACGAACCCTGCTCTTCACGCCACGCATCCAAGCCAGCCAATCGCCTTGCATTTCCTGAACTTATCCCTCTCACGCGATTCTTTCGACACAGCAAACTCCAACGCCCCAGCAAGGTACTATTAGTGAGCAGTAGTGACTCACATCAGCACTACATCTCTCAAATCATCTCACCTCTCTGTTAGAGCAGGTCTTCCAACGCCATGGTGCGACCGAAATCGCCACTATGGATTCATGTTGTGACGGAGGGTTCAGCGAAGGACGGAAATTTCACTGCGAAATGCAAACACTGTGGTGAAATCGTGACTGCCAACGCGACGCGCATAGGCGAGCATGTGTACGGGACGCCGGAGACGAAGAAGGATAAGAACGTGACTCCATGCGGCTCTGATGTCGCAAAGAAGCTTCGCGAGGAAGCAGAGGAACATGCACGCTCGTCATTCGGTGGGTCGAACCGAGCTTCCACCTCTACTACGGTCGAGATTCATGCCCCTCGTCGCGCTAAGCAGCGCGACATCCGCGACATGGCGGATACGGCTGCGCGCACTCGCCTGGACTACCTCTGGGCCGCGGCTGTAGCGAAGAACGACTGGGCCTTCCAGTCATCGAAGTCTAGGGCGGTGCAGGAATTCGTTGATGCGGCTCTCGCCTTCGCGAAGCCATACACCCTCCCGACCCCCTACAAGGTTGGAGGCCCGCTTCTGCTGAAATTACGGGCGGATACGGAGGAGCTAGCGAAGCCGATGATGGATAGCTGGCTCAATCGCGGCTGCACCCTGGCGTGCGATGGATGGACCTGCTTGAAGTCTCGAGGGCTTGTTTGCGTCATCGCCCTCAACGACACGGCACCGGTGATTGTGGAAACGATAGACTCAAAGACGGCAAAGAAGACTGGCGGGTATCTTGCCAAACTCCTCCGCAACTCCATTGTCAAGGTGGGGGACAAGACGGTAGTCCAGGTCGTCATGGACAACGCGGCTAATAACCGACGTGCGGCAGACATTTTGCGCGACGAATACCCAGGCATATTCTTCAACAACTGCGCCGCTCACGTACTCGACCTCATGCTGCACGATTTCGGCAAGATTCGTGCGGTGAAGCGGGTCATAAGCCAGGTGAACCGCGTGGTCATGATGGTGAAGGCAAGCGCCTCCGCCGTCACTCTCTTCCATGAAGTTTTTGAAGAGCTTGCATTGGTGCGGCCAGGTGCAACTCGGTTTGGCACGCACGTCATCATGCTCGCCAGATTCCTCGAAGTAAAAAAGTCGCTGCGGCAGATGGTCATAAGTGAGGAGTGGGAGGAGATTGCGGTGGCAAAGCAGCCGGAGGGGAAGGCGGTCCGCGACCTCCTCTTAGATGAGGTGTTTTGGGAATGCGCAACGGCAGTCCTTCGCATCATGCAGCCCGTGTATGATGTCCTTCGGGTCGTCGACACGCGAGTGCTAGTTATGGGGCAAGTGTATGGCCTCATGCTAGAGGCCACGGTGAAGACCAATGTGGCGGCCCAGGCTGGAGGTAAGACATACCTTTGCATGCCGTACGCCTTTGGGAGTCGTCGTGATTGCATGCACACCCCGTTCCTGCCCATGCTTACCGCCCTTCATCGTGTTTGTACTTCCATTGACAGCCGCCATGTTTGTCAAGCGCACGGAACTGCTGTTGGCAAAGGACAAGCCCGCATTCCTGGCGGAAATCAAGGCTATCCTAGGCAAGAGGTGGGACAAGCAGCTGCATAACCCACTACACGCTCTCGGGTGGCTCCTCAACCCCCGCAATCAGTACGTGGGGGAAGTGCGGGAGGATGAGGAGGTGAGGAGTGGGGCGGAGGCGGTCATCCAAGCACGGGTGAAGGATGTCGCCCAGCGCACCCTCATCCAGGCGCAGTTGGCCCAGTTCCACAAGGGCGAGGGGCTGTTGGGGTCGCCCGATGCACGGTGGGCTGCAAAGGTCTTGGTGGCGAGTGGGCGCCTGACGGATGCCGACTGGTGGTGGATGTATGGCGGGGAGGTGAAGGCGTTGCAGTCGCTGGCAGTGATGAACCTGTCACAGCCGGTAACGTCATCCGAGGTGGAGCGTTACTGGTCCGCGATTGCTCGTGTGCAACAGCGTGACCGTAACCGCATCTCCGCCAAGAAAATGACGGACGTGACCTATGTCGCGTTCATGAGGAGGGCTCGGGACACCTTTGACAGGAAGCAGAAGGTGAGGGAGAAGCTCTACGCCGATCTGAGCAACGGCACCCTCAAGGAAGGGAGTGTCGTCGCCCCGGCAGAGGAAGTGGTGGAGAAAGAGGGGGCTGAGGAGGAGGGAGAGGTGAATGGGGCATGCACCGTTGACTGGGACCTCTTCGGGCAGATTGGCAAGAAGAAGAAAAAGGAGCGTGAGAGCTCCAAAAGGAAGAGGAAGGGCAAGGCGACCAAGCCTAGCAAAGGTAAGAAGAAAGCCGCGGCAGCGCGTGAGGATGAGGAGGAGGAGGCGGCGGACAGCAGTGGCGATGAGGAGGAGGAGCATGTGCCCACCACCAAGGATGGAAAATACGGAAAGACTATGGCTCCCGTCTGGGGTTCCATCAGACTGAGCGAGGGCCAGCTGCACCAGTTGATGGAGCCCCCGTTCGACCAGTAGGGACGGACAGAGGGGTGCAGGGGTGGGTTGGAGACAGTGTGGTAGTTAGGTTACCGGTTTTGTTTGCTGGTCTTTGCTTGTGTTTGCTTCTACCTTTGTAACACCTCATGATTAATGCAAGGACCATTCGAGCAGGAGTAACGAATGAGCAGGGCCTTGTCCCTATAGAGTAACAAATGTATCTGGAGGGACAAGGCCCTGCTCATTCGTTATTCCTGCTCGAATCGGCGGCAAGGAGCTCAACTCTTAGTGCGATGTGGTATTGATGCACTGCCGGCCGTTCCCTCCCCTCTCATATACCCTTGCCCTTTCAGACGGCGTCGCGTGTATCTGGATCTGGGTGGAAAGGAGTTCAACTCGAGCGTGCTGTGGTTGTTGAGGTACTACCCTCTGGTCCACCCCCCTTCCCCCTCTCGCATCCCCATCCCGCCACCTATCCCGTCCCCTGCAGGCTCCATAGGGTGTACCTGGATCTGGGAGGAAAGGAGTTCAACTCGAGTGTGCTGTGGTTGTTGAGGTACTACCCTCTGGTCCACCCCCCTTCCCCCTCTCGCATCCCCATCCCGCCACCTATCCCATCCCCTGCAGGCGCCGTAGGGTGTACCTGGATCTGGGAGGAAAGGAGTTCAACTCGAGCGTGCTGTGGTTGTTGAGGTACTACCCTCTGGTCCACCCCCCTTCCCCCTCTCACATCCCCATCCTGCCACCTATCCCGTCCCCTGCAGGCGCCGTAGGGTGTACCTGGATCTGGGAGGAAAGGAGTTCAACTCGAGCGTGCTGTGGATGCTCAGACACTACCCCTTGGATTTCACGGAGGTGCATGTCTTTGAGGTCAAGAAGGGGCTGTTCCTGCTGCCGCCGAGGCAGACACAGAATGACGAGGTGGGTGGAATGCGGTTGGAAGTGGTTGACATGCAGCAGTGGATTTCACAGAGGTGCATGCGCTCCTCTCCTCTCCTCTCCTCGCCTCCCCGGGAAATTCAATCAAGAAAGAGCCTCGAGAAGGTGTCAGTGTTTTGGCATGGGAACAAACTGTCGTTACTCCGTTCTGCTTTCCTTCTCCTCCCCTGTTTTCTCTTCTCTTTCCCCCTCCCCTCGTTCATGAACCTGTCAGGCCCAATACCCTGAGATGCAGCCAAGAAAGCGCCTCGAGAAGGTGTCGGTGTTCTGGCGGGGGGATGAGCCTCCTCCACTTCCAAACTGGATGGCGGACAGAATCCATATTTATAACGACTTTGTTGACAACACGGATTACCATGTGAGTGGTATCACGAGTCTGCTTATAACGAGTACGTGTGGAGGATATAGAGCCCCCCACCCCCGTGCCCAACTGGATGGCGGGCAGAACTATAATGACTTTGTGGACAATTCGGATCACCATGTGAGTGTGGCAGGTGCACTTCCAACGAGTATGTAAGAGAAGGCTAGAGAGCCTCCTGCGGTGCCCAAGTGGATGGCATGGCAGACAGGATCCATGTGTAGACCGTCACTCGCTTGATCAAGGTCGTGCTCATGCCTGCAGACTCACAGCAGCGGACACGCTGCTGCTTCTGTGGCACTCTGTGGCCTCGTGCAGCCCTCTCACTCATTCTGCCTTTCCGTGTGTTTGTGTGTGTGCGTGGGTGCATGTTATCCCCACACCACACCACACCACACCACACCACACCACACCACGTCCGCAGAAGCATCAAGAACGTCCTCAGGCTCATAGCAGGAGACTCAAAAGCAGGAGACACTCCAGTGGTGATGTGCCACGCTGTGGCACCCCTCTCACTGCGTCCGTATGCCACCCATCCCCTCTACCCACGTCTGCAGAAGCACGTGAACATCACTCGGTTCATCAAGGACGTCCTCAGGCTCACAGCAGGGGACACGCTGGTGGTGAAGATGGATGTAGAGGGCAAGGAGTGGGACATGCTGCCGGGTGAGTGTCCCTCTGTGCTGCCGGGTGAGTGTCCCTCTGTGCTGCCGGGTGAGTGTCCCTCTGTGCTGGCTGTGAGTGTCCCTCTGTGCTGGCTGTGAGTGTCCCTCTGTGCTGGCTGTGAGTGTCCCTCTGTGCTGGCTGTGAGTGTCCCTCTGTGCTGGCTGTGAGTGTCCCTCTGTGCTGGCTGTGCGTGTCCCTCTGTGCTGGCTGTGAGTGTCCCTCTGTGCTGGCTGTGCGTGTCCCTCTGTGCTGGCTGTGAGTGTCCCTCTGTGCTGCCGGGTGAGTGTCCCTCTGTGCTGCCGGGTGAGTGTCCCTCTGTGCTGGCTGTGCGTGTCCCTCTGTGCTGGCTGTGAGTGTCCCTCTGTGCTGGCTGTGCGTGTCCCTCTGTGCTGGCTGTGAGTGTCCCTCTGTGCTGGCTGTGCGTGTCCCTCTGTGCTGGCTGTGCGTGTCCCTCTGTGCTGGCTGTGAGTGTCCCTCTGTGCTGGCTGTGAGTGTCCCTCTGTGCTGGCTGTGCGTGTCCCTCTGTGCTGGCTGTGAGTGTCCCTCTGTGCTGGCTGTGAGTGTCCCTCTGTGCTGCCGGGTGAGTGTCCCTCTGTGCTGCCGGGTGAGTGTCCCTCTGTGCTGGCTGTGCGTGTCCCTCTGTGCTGGCTGTGCGTGTCCCTCTGTGCTGGCTGTGAGTGTCCCTCTGTGCTGGCTGTGAGTGTCCCTCTGTGCTGGCTGTGCGTGTCCCTCTGTGCTGGCTGTGAGTGTCCCTCTGTGCTGGCTGTGAGTGTCCCTCTGTGCTGGCTGTGCGTGTCCCTCTGTGCTGGCTGTGCGTGTCCCTCTGTGCTGGCTGTGCGTGTCCCTCTGTGCCGGCTGTGCGTGTCCCTCTGTGCTGGCTGTGCGTGTCCTTCCATGCTCGCATTGAGTGTCGCCAGTAGCCTGACTACCTTCATGGAGTGCATGGTTCGGCTCACAGCAGAAGACACGCTGGTGGGGAAGATGGGCGTAGAGGGCGAGTGGGACGTGGTACCGGGTTGAGTGTCCTTGTTCCCTCCCCAAACCTCACACATTGGCTGCAAGTCCCGGAAATGCTGCAGATAGTGGATGAGATATTCGAGGACGTGCATTACTTGCACCCCTCTGTGTGCGCTGATGACACACGTGACCCCCTTCCTGATTGCTTTGAGGCGCCTAAAAACAGTGATGTTTTGAGACATCAAAAGGGGGTCATGTGTGTCATCTCGGAACATCACTTTTATCAGGCGCTGATGACACACGTGACCCCTTCCAGATTGCCTCATCCCCCACCGACCAACATCCATCGGATCGGTTGAATGACCCGGAAATGGCAGCGATAGTGGACGAGATATTCATGGAGGTGCATTACTCGCACCCCTCCATGCTGGGCTGTCATGTTCCCTCATGACTTCATACATGTTATACCCTCTAGTCTCTTTACAATCAACCCGCCATCAGATTGGCTGCAAGACCCGGACATGCCATGAATGGGGTACAAGGTGACTTTTGAGGCATTCATTGCCTAATACATCTTCGGGTCCCTTTACATTCAACCCCTCACAGATTGGCCACAACATCCGGAAATGCCAGCAGTAGAGGACGACATATCCGTGGAGGTGCACTGCTCACATCCCTCCGTGCCCGCTCATCCCTCTTGCAACTCCCTGTGCTGCCTTATCCCATCCCCTCCACCCGTCATCAGACTGGCTGCAAGACCCCGAGATGCCACAAATAGTGGATGAGAGATTCGTGGAGGTGCATTACTCGCACCCCTCCGTGCTGGGCTGTCAGGTTGCCTCAAAGCCTCATACATGTGAAGCCTTCTCCCCACACCCCCAACCTCACAGACTGGCTGCGAGATCCCGAAATGCCACAGATAGTGGACGAGATATTCGTGGAGGTGCATTACTCGCACCCCTCTGTGTTGGGCTTCGGCTGGCGCCCCTTCAACCACACGAGGGAGCAGGCAACACAACTGCTGGTGGATTTGAGGGCCAAGGGCTTCTTCATACACCCCTGGCCCTAGATGGCACTGCAGTTCTGAATCACCTGTGCTGCTGCTGCTGCTGCCGCCGACTCTGTGCTGGGCTTTGGCTGGCGCCCTGTCAACCACACAAGGGAGGGGGCGACGCAGCCATTGGTGGGTCTGCGAGCCAAGGGCCTGGCCGTAGCTTTGACTGTTTCCATGGCTGTAACTCGTGTTCAACCTCAACAGAGAGAAGGCAACGCAGCTTCTGGTGGATCTGCGAGCCAAGGGCTTCTGCTCGCACCCCTGGCCTTTTCAGATGCCAGAGGGCTGGTTGTAACTTGTAGGGCTTTAAGTTATGGTGCACCACAAGAGGGGAGACAGCGGATTCGCTGGTGGGTATTAGAGGAAAGAGTTGCTGTGCGCATCCCTGGCCTGAGATGGCTCTATGGTCCTGGGATGTGCTCCTAGTTGGATTACGGTGTGTGTCCGCCTACTGTAATTACGGGCAAGCAGGGTGTGGTGCAGCGTGGCAGTTGGTTTAGCTCAGTTATGTATGTTCCGAGAAAAGATTGTTGCGCTCTATTAGTACATCATGGCTATGGCATAGATTTATTGCGGACCCATTGGTACCACAATTCATAACGTGCTTAAGAGCTTGTGTACATGCCTTTTTGTGTGGTTCAATGTAATTATTAGATATTAACTTCCTGATACCGTACTGTACAATTGAATGAAGGAAATCTACTGGCTTTTCAGATTTCTTTGCTACATACACTCTCCTTCAAGGTAAAGTCTTTGGTGCGGGATTATTACAGTTGGATAAGAAAACATTTTTGTACTGGAGTGTGTCGAATATACAAACATAAGATAATACAAATGCTGTTAGATTTTACTGTAGTGTTCCTTTGTAAGACTCCCAGCCCTCCAATAATTGTAGAATTATTGGAGGGCCAGAATTATTGGAGTCTAGAATTATTGGAGGGTAAGAATTATTGGCGGGTATAATTATTGGTATGGATAGGGCCATCCTGAGGGGGTTAGCTGCCGATAAATACCCTGCCCTGTCATTCCAGTGCATTAGTCAACTCCGTTATTCTCCTTCTGGTTTCAACCATTCAGGGTCTTCCAGCCTTGCTCTTTCTACAAACTAGCTTCCGCAACGCCGGCATCATGCCTATCTAGCATGGTATCAGAGCTACTCTAGGGGGCATGCTGCCAAAATTTCGTCAGAACTCAATCATCATCTACATTGGTTAAGAAGATTAGCAAATCTGCACAGCAAGTGGCAACACTTGGTGTGACGGCATGGCGCGGTTCGACGAGGAAGTTGATGCTGGATACGAGGCGTTCGAAGAAGCAATCTTGGCTCAACATGAGCACCTGGAAAACATGATCGCAAGGGCACCACCGACACTCCAAGCATCATTGAGAGCAAGATTCAACATGGCAACCCAAGTTCGAGATTTCAACAACCCATCCATCCGTGGACAGTCACATGCAAGCACTCCGCGTGCTAACCAAACCCGCGCTTCAAATGTGGATGCAGGAATTGAAGGTGGAGGGGAAGGAAGCCTACCCCAAGAAGGAGAGTCATCCCAAGGGAAGGATGCATCCTTCCAAGGAGAGGGGAGCTCCCACCCCGAACCTCAACCAACCATGCAAAGGGAAGCAACGGGGAGGGATGATGAGTACGGGAGCGGAAGGGATGTGAGAGAACATGGTGATGGGATTGATGTGGGAAGAAACATGAGAGGTCAGATTGGTGAAGGGAGCGGTAGAAGCAGTCATGTGGGCATGGAGGGTGTGGGATTCGAATCCTACACTATTGGTGCTCCCCCACTGCGCCGACTTGCCACTAACTCTCATCCCATTGGAGTTCCCATAATGGGCAGATCTCACCGCTATGGCAACGTCGTACCTCCTCGTGCGCAATGGTCTCAACCGGAAGCTGTACCTGTAGGAAGCATCGGACGCATGGGGCACGGGATGCAATCAAATGGAGTTATGCGACGTGACCAAGTGGAGGTGGTGGAACGTGAGGGCACACAACGCACAGTGCAACTGCCTCGACCATCTACCGTGCCTACGCTTTTCGACCCGTCACCTCGCGAGTACACCGAAGAAGACAAAGACAGGCTGTCACGCAAGATGGTGGGAGCAGCAGTAGACAAGGCGTTCACAACAACCCCATTTGACGGCACTAACTTTCGAGAGTGGGCTCTTCGGTTTCGCATGAACGCGCGCGTGACAAATCTGTGGGAGTTTTTCGCGACATTACGATACCCGGTTACAATGGTGAATGGAGAAATGCAAGATGCAATGGAGCGGCTGGAAACTCTGCAAGCGGATTACTCCCAACGTGCTACGCTGGCTCTTTGGGTGCTTCTACATAGCGTGAGCGCAACAATTCAGCTACAACTGGACGTGTTCTAAGAGTCATACAGTCCGGCATTCGAAGCATGGGAGTACCTGATAGAAACTTACCAGGCGAAGGATTCGGTCGCAAAAGCGTCTCTCCAGAGGCAATTGGACAACCTGAAGATGGGGAGCCAAGAAAGGGTGGAGGAATATATCAACAGAGCAACTGCAATTCGGGACAAGCTGGCAATGGCAGAAAAATTGGTGGATGAAGATTCATTCACTTTGAATCTGATTACCGGGCTGCCGCCGCATTGGGAGGAGCTAAGGCACTCGGCAATGCTACACGACATCTCAGACAGTTACACACTGCAGCGAATGATGATTCAAGAACAACGCTACCAAGACCTCATTAGCAAAACCAACCGTGATAAGCGTCCGCCTCGCATGGCTGGTCAGGCACGTGGAGATACTTCACCAGCAAAGGAGAGAGCTGAGGGCAACCAGAATACGGCAAGACTAACGGGAGGACAGCATGCGACGGGTGGAGAAAAATTCAAAGGCAACGAAGGAAAGGGGGGGCGGTCAAACCTCGTGTGTTGGTACTGCAAGGAGACTGGCCACCCGTTCTACAAGTGTCCGAAGGCACCTCTGGGTTGGTCACCACCAGGTTGGGAACCACAAAACAGAGGGAGGACAAATCAACGCACCTGGAGTAGCCGATCTTCTTCGCCTCGAAGGAGTGAAAGCCCGAAACATGACAACCAAGCATCAAAACAGCAAGGGGCGGCTAGGGGAGACAACAAGCGAACCGTTACATGCGTGGCAACGGTTCGATCGTCACAAGCAACATTACCAGCCGCCGGAGGGTCGATGTGGTTGCTGGACAGCGGATGCAGCCAACACATGACTGCAGAGAGGGAGTGGTTTGAGGGATTAGAGTAGTTGACCAAACCTGTTTATGTGGAGCTTGCTGATGGGAGTCATCTCTTGAGCTCGATGGCAGGAACAATTCGAGCGACGGGACCTGATGGAACAACAGTACGTTTCACCGACGTGCTCAATGTCCCCGGCTTGAAGTCCAACCTCCTCTCCTATTGCCAACTGCACAAAAAGGGAGCACGGATTCGCACTCGAGACGACGGACACATCGTGATTACTATGGCTGTTGAAGATGAGCATGTGGTCATTGGGATTGGGATGATCATGCATGGTGTGCTCATGGTGCAATATGAGCCTGCGCTTGCACCTGCCCATGAATTTGATCATGACCATGAGAATGGTGCATCGCATGGCCCACAAGGCCACGCTTCCACTTGATCATAATGGGGTGCATACACTTTCTGCTCATGCTTCCATCACTTATCGCATGGCCCACAAGCGTTTGGGTCACCCATCATACGCATCCATGGATGCCACATTTCGGAATGGGGATGTCGAAGGACTCACCATATCAGACAAGGTCAACCCCCTCAAACCCCCGTGTGACTCATGCCTTCGAGGGAAAATGAGCAGGGCCCCATTTCCCACAAGTGAAGACAAGCGGACTACTCGACCTTTGGAACTCGTGCATAGTGATATCATGGACTTGGGTGACGCTCACCCCTCCCTTCGCTATGTGCTGACGCTCAAAGACGACTACACCAACTACCTGTGGGTGGCGCCGTTGGCTCGTCGTTCCGACATGGCAGCTGTCTTTTCGACCTGGCACCGCGAGATGAAGACCAAGCTGCCAACGAAGCCTCTGGCTGCCTTGTGCACGGACAACGGAGGGGAGTACACAGCCAATGCGTTCACGGATTACCTGAGTTCTCAAGGCATCAATCACCAAACGTCTTTACCATACACGCCGCAGCAAAATGGAGTCGCCGAGCAGGTTAACCGCACGCTCATGGACCGTGTGCGTGCAATGACTACCGGAGCCAGCCTTTCATCCAAGTTTTGGCCTTATGCGCTGGAGTATGCCGCATGGTTACACAACCGCATCAGCTGCAGCAGCAACCCCTCCGCACACTCACCGTACTTCATGATGACGGGGAAGGCTGCATATGTCTCCATGGCAAGGACCTTTGGATGCCTCTGCTACTATCTCCCTCCCCAAGGTAGCTTCGGGAAGTTTGAGCAACGAGGACGGGCAGGCATGTTTCTCGGCCTCTCTAACTCACGCAAGGCATGGATCGTCCGGGACTTGGCAAGCGACGTCGACACGGACACACGCTCAGCTCGTTTCTTTGACGACCTCATGCTCCCAGACGCCGAATCCCTGCTCGAACGCCAACAATACATGGATGAAGTCTCACCTCATATCTCGGAGTGGACGTCAGGGGGAGACGGCGTTGGGTCAGCATTTGACTCCATTCCCGCAGCCCACACTTCCTCCCCATCATCCTCTGACGCCGCTACAGCAGAACAACATGGAACTAAGGCAAATGACACCACTCCAGAAGGCTCACCAGCAGCTAGTGAAGCTGATACAGGAGAAGAGACAACGACAAATGACTTACCGACAGCAGGCATCTCTGTTTGGGAAGGTGCAGACAACAATGAACCAGACAATGACGCAAGTCATCTCTATGACTTTGCCTACCCACCCAATGGGATCCCGCTGGCGGCTCCTGACGTGCCACCACGGCGGGTTCACTTCAACCCAACGGTCACAGTGCTTGGAGAAGGACAAGGGACGGACAACATGACAGGCCTGGACGTACTGTTTGGGAAGCGACAGGCAGGACTCACAGTCACACGGCTTCCTAACTTGCAGCAGCAGAAAGTACTGGGATGTGCAGCAACCGGCGTCCCCATGGTGGAGCTGACATACAAAGAGCCAAAAACACTTCAAGACATGACCAACGACCTGTACGCACCTCTTTGGCAGGCCGCAGTAGATCCAGAATTGGCCAAGTTCGACGAGCTGGACGCATACGAAGTAGTGGACAGATCGGACGTACCCAAGGGAACACCAGTGTTGACGGAAGGAGTCGTCTTGAGGGTGAAACGTGATGAGCATGGACAACCTAACCGGTTTAAAGCACGCTGGGTGGTCAAGGGATGCGGACAGACATGGGGAACATACGATGGGACGTATGCACCGGTCAGCCAAGGACCTACCTCTCGCTTATTCGTTGCTGGGGCGTCAGCTATGAAGCGCAAGGTGGTGCAACTGGACATTTCTAATGCTTTCCTGTACGCTCCAATCGACCGGGTCATATACGTGAGGCCACCAGAACCAAGGCGGGACGGAGACAAATTCTGGAAACTCAAGAGAAGTGTATATGGGTTGAAACAAGCCCCACGTTTGTGGCATCAGCACTTACGAGGAGTCTTGTTGGAGCTGAATATGGTGCAATCTGAATCTGACCCAGCCTTATTTATCTGGGAACGAGAAGGGAAGGACACGGTGTGGCTACTCACCTACGTTGACGACATCCTCATCCAGTCTCACGACGACGAAGGCATTGAAGCTGTGATTCATCATCTGAAGCGGAACTTTACCTTGACCATCAGCGAGACCATGACGCAGTTTTTGGGGCTCAACGTGGCTGCTGACAAGGACTCGGTCTCGCTCGGACTCACAAAATACATCTCACAGGCTTTGGCGACCTTCGGGATGGAGGGCAGCCGTTCCAGAGTTCGAACACCGATCACCAAAGAACCTGGACCACAAGGAGAACCACCGGACGATATTGATGGTCAGCTGGTGCTGAGGCAAGTTGGGACATTGCTGTACATCTCAACGGCGGGGAGACCGGACATCACCTATGCAACACATGTGCTGGCCAGCCAAGCAAGCAAACCAACAGCGACAACAGTACTTGGAATCCACAGGGTGTTCAACTACTTACAGAACACTGCAGACATGGGGCTCGTCTATGGCGGCGGGGACTTGGTACTCCGCGGATACACCGATTCGGATTATGCGAACGAAGCAGGGCGTCACTCCGTTGGAGGCTACGTGTTTACCTTGGGAGGAGCTGCTGTCAGTTGGAGGACTAAACGTCAAACGGTCATTGCAACATCAACAGCTGAAACAGAATACATTGCACTGTTTGAAGGGGCAAGGGAAGCTACATACCTTCGCCGCTTGTGTGACGACCTCGGTTTTCGACAGCAAGAACCTACCGTCCTCTTTGTGGATAACCAAAGCGCCATTGCCCTTGCAACCGGGGAGCAGATGAGTCAACGCACCAAGCAAATGGACATACGTTACCATTGGACGAGGAAGGCCGTTCGTGATGGCGTTGTGCGACTGGAGTACTGCCCAACAGCTCAACAAGCTGCGGACTATCTCACCAAGCCTCTCACAGCAACACAACATCTCACCTGCAGCCGCTTGTGCGGCCTCCAACCGATTCCACCTGGAGAATTGTCTGCCACCAATCAGCAGATTGACGGTGTTGACGCTGCGATCTCCCGTCAAAGCTCTTCAATGGTTGCTGAACAACAAAGCATCACGTAACTCCACGCATCTCACTCTTGTGTTTGGTGCTATGTGCGTGCTCCGGCATGTGCAGAAATACAAACACACGAGTGCGAGGGGGAGTGGGGTATGGAGTATCTTGGGGTGCAACCACTCAGGATTTGATCTTACAACCATCTTTTTTGCCATCACACAAGTCAGCACATATGCATCAAGCGAAGACCTACTACAATCCATGACAAAATCAGCCATCCAATTCTGCTGGACAGTCGATGCTTGTCGGTCACAACCACTCGCCAACTGCAACAGCCGTTCCTGAAGACTTCATATGCCTGCTGGTTTCAGGGGGAGAAGAAACATGTCAGCATGAGTCAGCATGAGGCAAGAAGACAGAAGGAATCACAAGAGGAAGTTGACAAAGTCCTACTAAATACAAGGGAAGTCAGCTGGAGTCAAGCACTGCTGGGACTGCTCACCAAGATGACACAGGTGCTGCAGGGCGTCAGGGGGAGCTGCTGCAAGCAACCCGGTGATGCTGCTGGGACCAGTCAGGTGGTGGTGCTGGCACGGTGATGCTGCTGCCACCAGTCATGTGGTGCTGCTGGCAGACGTCTACAGAAGCAGCCGCCAGGAACAGAAGCAGCCGCCAGGTGCTTGCGTACCAGATGCAGCTGCCTCCGGGCGTCACCTGGTATAGGGGGAGCAGCACAGGGTCATGGGGTGCAGCACAGAGTCACGAGGAGCAGCACAGGGTCATGGGGTGTAGCACAGAACAAAAAGGGTAAGATGGGTTTCACAGACAGATTCGACAAAGCATTCTCACCTCGGCAGGAAGGAGAAAGCCGTGCGCTGCCAAGAGTAGCAGCAGTGGGCCGCCAGGAGTAGCAGCAGTGGGCCGCCAGGAGCAGCAGCCGTGCGCCACCAGCAGAAGCCGCCACGTGCGATGTAATGCAGCGGCGCGCATGCTGCTGCAGTCGTGCGCCAGCCGCTGCTGCCGATCGCCACGGGCGCCATGAACAGCAGTCGCGCGCAAAGAGCTGCAGCGTGCAGGTTGTCAAGCGAGGAGGTCACGGCAGCCGCGCGACAGGAGCAGCAGTCGCGGATCTGGCCGAAGCTGCAGGAAACGCGCATCCGGCACTGCAGGTCGTCACTATCACCGAGCGCCAGCCATGACATGGCGAGCGCTGGTGATGCGCGCTAGCTGCAGCTGAAGGACATCACGCCATGGCGCAGCACAACGGACACCAGAAAATCGTCGCGACTAAAGCAGCAGTCGCGCGGCAGCAAAGGAAATCGGGTCAACACTAGAAGGCGAAGAAAAAAAAAAAAAAAAAAAAAACAGCGCGTCATAGGAAGAAGCCGTGCGCCATGAAGATATTCGCCAGCAGCAGCTATCCTAAGACCAAGGGAGGCAATCCGCCCTGCTGCTGGGAATCGGGCTGACCTAAACTGTCAATTCACCGCGCTAGCAGCAGCCATGGCTTGAGAAAACGTCACTAGCAGATCTGGAGTTGGAAGGAGCTTGGAGTAACAAGGAGCGAGAAATTGAGGCAGAATGACCAGCTTCGAGAGAACCCCTGCGGATTGAGGGGTGTGGGAGAAACAGCAGCCGTGATAGGCGACAAATTGAAACAAAGGCGTGACAGGGTGGACGGTGCACACCTGACGAGGATCGTGCGGAATTTCGCTACACGACATCTTGACCTACCCACCTGATGCTGTTTCAACGGAAACCCTACACCAAAATCAGGTCGCCGCGATCATCGCTGACGTGATCCTCTAACACAATAGTCACCCCAATCCTCTCTGCAATCAACGCCGTAACCAAAATTACTACCGCAATCAACGCCGTTTACAGGTGTCCTCCAAGACAAAACTCAGTAAAACCTACAGCAAGGGGGAGTGTTGAATATACAAACATAAGATAATACAAATGCTGTTAGATTTTACTGTAGTGTTCCTTTGTAAGACTCCCAGCCCTCCAATAATTGTAGAATTATTGGAGGGCCAGAATTATTGGAGTCTACAATTATTGGAGGGTAAGAATTATTGGCGGGTATAATTATTGGTATGGATAGGGCCATCCTGAGGGGGTTAGCTGCTGATAAATACCCTGCCCTGTCATTCCAGTGCATTAGTCAACTCCGTTATTCTCCTTTTGGTTTCAACCATTCAAGGTCTTCCAGCCTTGCTCTTTCTACAAACTAGCTTCCGCAACGCCGGCATCATGCCTATCTAGCAGAGTGTTCCAGTCACGGCTTTGCTCATGTAAGGAAAATCACTTTTCCTTACTTCACATCCCTGCTCAACGCGTACATCACTGTAGCACCTCAGTCAGCACCGTTACCACTCGCGATCATCGCATCATTCATCATCCCGCCATTTTCGCACATCGCATCCCGACCTCACGGCTCGGCTGGTAACCTGCGCTCCGGGCCTACGCTTCGACACTTTCCCAACCTCAGTCCCAGGATCGTCGCGCGACCATTACCGTTACCACTGTAGTTTCGCTATATATTCTTCGCTCATGCCTTCGCTCATTGTACTCTTGCTTCGATAGTGCAATTCTAGTTCGTTCAGCAGAATGAGCTTCCTCAAACGAAGCGTGCCGTTTATTGTTCATGCATAACCCAGGCAGTTGAGGAGCGGTTCGAAGTGGGGAAGTGAACAGACCGCTGTAGAGTGCACTATATCGTACTCAACCGCCTTTGAAGACCTGTAAAACACACACGCGTGACCTGCTCTCTAAATGACCGTTGGGGAAGTTAGCGTATCCGAGTACAGTGCACACTGCACACAAGCGTGGCTTGAATGACCGAATACGCAAGACGGAAGACGTACTGCGAGCCCTATTTGCTGTGTTGTCTCAGCGCATCGTCTCGTCGTCGGTCCGTTTTGCCCGGGACGTAATTGCGAGCCCTTTTCGCTGTTTCGTTGCCAGCAGCGGATGTCCCGACGGAGCGCCAATGCTACTAATCATGGCGGAAGGGATGGCGGCGCAGCCTCCGCCGGCGCGGCTTCCGCCGACGGGCTTGGCGGAGGAGAGGCGCGCGGCGTTTGCGGCGGCGGCGGCGGCGGCGGCGGAGGTGAAGGAGGCGGCTTGCGCGCGGAGCAGCTGCAGCGCGCCGATATGGCGGTGGTCGGCGCGCCGGCTGCCGCGATCATGCTGCCACGTGTCGCTTATAAGGCGGTCCACGTGGCAGAGTTCGAGAAGCAGTGCCAGGCGCTAGTGCAGGTGGGAAGACGGATGATCTAGTTAGAGGTTGATCCGAGCAAGAAACAGTAGACGCTTTCTTGTAGATAAGTGTTCGAGGTTAATTCAGTGTACCCGGAACATCAGACGGATTTAGTTCGAGAGATAGTTCGATAAAGAGCACTCTCCTAACGCGTACGGCTTGGCGGAGATGAGGGCGAGCAAATCTGACGTGCGAATTCCGCGTCAATCACGCGTGAATCCTATATCGGCCCCCCTCCGTCCCTTTTCCCTCCTCCCCTCCCCCTCTTCCTCCACTCGTCTATCATTTCAGGACCTCCGCAGTGCGTTGGACGCATGTGAGGCGGTGGAAGGAGCACAGCTAGCAGAAAGAGACATCAGGTGAACATTCAGGTGAATCTCAACTGATTTCTCAGGTGATTTTTTAGGTGAATTCTCAGATGATTTTTCAGGTGGCGCCTCAAGTGATTCTGCAGGTGGGTGGTCGTTTCGTGCTTTCCGTTCCGGGGGTAAGTTGCTTCAGTCATTTAGAACAAGCTCATTTCACCTTTCCCCCCTCCCTCATTTCACCTTTCCCCCCTCCCTCATTTCACCTTTCCCCCCTCCCTCATTTCACCTTTCCCCCCTCCCTCATTTCACCTTTCCCCCCTCCCTCATTTCACCTTTCCCCCCTCCCTCATTTCACCTTTCCCCCCTCCCTCATTTCACCTTTCCCCCCTCCCTCATTTCACCTTTCCCCCCTCCCTCATTTCACCTTTCCCCCCTCCCTCATTTCACCTTTCCCCCCTCCCTCATTTCACCTTTCCCCCCTCCCTCATTTCACCTTTCCCCCCTCCCTCATTTCACCTTTCCCCCCTCCCTCATTTCACCTTTCCCCCCTCCCTCATTTCACCTTTCCCCCCTCCCTCATTTCACCTTTCCCCCCTCCCTCATTTCACCTTTCCCCCCTCCCTCATTTCACCTTTCCCCCCTCCCTCATTTCACCTTTCCCCCCTCCCTCATTTCACCTTTCCCCCCTCCCTCATTTCACCTTTCCCCCCTCCCTCATTTCACCTTTCCCCCCTCCCTCATTTCACCTTTCCCCCCTCCCTCATTTCACCTTTCCCCCCTCCCTCATTTCACCTTTCCCCCCTCCCTCATTTCACCTTTCCCCCCTCCCTCATTTCACCTTTCCCCCCTCCCTCATTTCACCTTTCCCCCCTCCCTCATTTCACCTTTCCCCCCTCCCTCATTTCACCTTTCCCCCCTCCCTCATTTCACCTTTCCCCCCTCCCTCATTTCACCTTTCCCCCCTCCCTCATTTCACCTTTCCCCCCTCCCTCATTTCACCTTTCCCCCCTCCCTCATTTCACCTTTCCCCCCTCCCTCATTTCACCTTTCCCCCCTCCCTCATTTCACCTTTCCCCCCTCCCTCATTTCACCTTTCCCCCCTCCCTCATTTCACCTTTCCCCCCTCCCTCATTTCACCTTTCCCCCCTCCCTCATTTCACCTTTCCCCCCTCCCTCATTTCACCTTTCCCCCCTCCCTCTCCATTGTCCTGCGCTGCTAAAGTGCGTTCCCCCACTTCCGCCCTTCTCTCTCTCTCCCTCGCAGTGTGCATGATCTCATCATCCCCTCTATGGAAGAGCTTGTGGCTGCCACCGTGCCTTCCCTCTCTCCTCCCCCCCTTCCCCTTCACTCTTTCCGTCCGCCTATCCCCACCCTCCCTCCCTCTCCCTCTCCTCGCAGTGTGCATGATCTCATCATCCCCTCCATGGAAGAGCTCGTGGGTGCGATCTGCTGCGCATCATCAATTCCAACCACTCTCCTCCCCTCTCTCCTCCCTCTCTATCCCTATCCCTCTCCCCCTCGCAGCGTGCATGATCTCATCATCCCTTCTATGGAAGAGCTCGTGGCCGCCACTGTGCCTTACCTCTGGTCGCCCAAGCAGTCAACGCAGTCAGCTAAATCAGGAGCAAGGTCAACGCAGCCGGGAAGGTCAACGCAGCCGGGAAGGTCAACGCAGCCGGGAAGGTCAACGCAGCCGGGAAGGTCAACGCAGCCGGGAAGGTCAACGCAGCCGGGAAGGTCAACGCAGCCGGGAAGGTCAACGCAGCCGGGAAGGTCAACGCAGCCGGGAAGGTCAACGCAGCCGGGAAGGTCAACGCAGCCGGGAAGGTCAACGCAGCCGGGAAGGTCAACGCAGCCGGGAAGGTCAAGACAGTCCAAACAGTCAAGTGGGAAGGCTGCAGAGCCACCGGCGCACAACAAGGGCAAGGAGAGTGGAGGTGGCAGGGCACGCATGCAGAGAGCTGAGGTAGCGCACGTGGGCGAGGAGGGGATGGAGGGGGGGATAGAGGGGATGGAGGGGGGGATAGAGGGGGGGATGGAGGGGGGGATGGAGAAGGGGATAGAGGAAGAGGGGATGGAGGTAGAGGAGGAGGGGAGGGAAGAAGGGAGGGAGGAGGGAGTGTGTCAGCGAGAGGGTGTTACTGGAGCAGAGGAGGAAAGGGATGAAGGGGCGGTGGAAGGGGGAGAAAGAGAGGATATGAGGGGTGTGGGAGGCGAGGGAAGGATGGTAAGAGAAGTGGAGCAGGATGGTGGGAGGGATGTGGAAAGGGGGAGGGGAGATGGAGGGAGGGAGAGGGAGGAGGGGGGTGAGGCAGTGAGGGAAGCAGGCAGGGAGCAGCAAGAGAGAGGAAAGGAAGGGTACGTGGGGATTGAAAAAGGGGAAGAGATTGAGAAAGGGGAAGAGATTGAGAAAGAGAGAGAAAAGCAGAATGGGGAGAGCGAGAAGGAGAATGAGAAGGAGGGTGAGAAGGAGGGCGAGAAGGAGGGTGAGAAAGAGAATGGGGAGAGTGAGAAGGAGGATGAGAAAGAGAAGGAGAGGGAGAGGGAGAATGAGAGGAGGGCGGTGGAGGTGTACGGAATGGCAGCGAGGGCGTTTGGCATTCCCTTCCCGTCGCTCTCCCACACCGCCTCCACCCACTCCCTCCAACACCACCACCCCATGGCAAACCGAATGCAAAGGCCCCGTGCTTACTCCCTGGCGCCACCCCGTGTCCCCTCCCATGCTCCACCCAACGTCCCACCTATGCCCTTCAATGCTGGCCCACACCCCCCCCCTCCGTGGGTGCTGTATCCCCACCTGTGGCCGCCCCCTCTTCCTCCTCCCTCTCATGCCGCCTCTAACCCGCCTTCTCGCCCCCCTCACCCTCCTCCTCCTCAATCCCCATCTCACCCTCCTCAATCCCCATCTCACCCCCCTCCTGCACCACCTTCATCCTCCGCCCATCCCTTTCCCCCATACCTCTTCCCCATGCCCTTTCCTCCCTTTGCGCCCTTTACTGCCTCCCTTCCCTTTCCTCCACCACCCTTGTCTCGTCCCCCCCTTGCTGCTGCCACTGCTGCCACCACCACCACTGGTGCTGCTGCTGCAGCTGATGCCACTAAATCTGCTGCTGCCGCTACAGCTGCTGCTGATGTTGCTGCAGCTGACGCTGGTAGTAACGTTGCTGCCACTGCTTCCGCCACAGCTGCTGCTTCTGGTGATGCTACTGCTGCTACAGCCAAACCTGATGCGGTGGTTGTTGCTGCTTCACCTGATGCTGCTGCAATGTCTGAATGTGCTGCCACAGCTGCCACAGCTGCCACAGCTGAATCTACAGATAAATCTGCCACTACAGCTGATGCTGCTGGTGCTACAGCTGGTGCTGCTGATGCTATGGGTAATGCTACAGCTGACGTGGATGCTACAGCTGACGTGGATGCTGACAATCAAGCCCTTGTTCTTCGAACCGTGGACACTGAAGCTACAGCTGGTGATGCCGCTGCTCTCGCTCATACAGACACTGGCTCTAGACATGCGAAGCCCATGCATACTGTGCGGCGTGTGGAAGCAGAGAGAGCTGAAGTTGGCGAATGTGTGAGGGCCGCTGAAGCTGGGGATGCAGAGAGTGTGGGTCTCACAGCTGCATCCCATGATGGCGCTGCATCCCATGATGGCGCTGCATCCCATGATGGCGCTGCATCCCATGATGGCGCTGCATCCCATGATGGCGCTGCATCCCATGATGGCGCTGCATCCCATGATGGCGCTGCATCCCATGATGGCGCTGCATCCCATGATGGCGCTGCTTCCCATGATGGCGCTGCATCCCATGATGGCGCTGCTTCCCATGATGGCGCTGCATCCCATGATAGCGCTGCTTCCCATGATGGCGCTGCTTCCCATGATGGCGCTGCTTCCCATGATGGCGCTGCTTCCCATGATGGCGCTGCTTCCCATGATGGCGCTGCTTCTGACGCACATGACCACGTGCACATGGTCACACAAGGCGGGGTGGATGCTCCTGGGTCGGAGAGAGCAGATGGTGTGGTTGATGTTCCGGTGTCAGCCACAGCAGACGCACACACCCATGCCTCCCCGTTCATGTCACCTCTTCCTTCCCCGCCTCCCTTCCCCTCCTCGCCGCTCTCCCTGCCTTGTCTCTCTCTTGACACTCGCCTCTCGGAGGGGACGTGTGAGGGAGAGGAAGGAGGAGGGGGGGGAGGAGGGATGCTGGGATGGGAAGAGGAGGATAGATGGGAGGGGGGAGGAGGGGGGGGTGATCAAGGGATGGTTGAGGGGGGAGGAGAGTGCTGTGAGGGGGTTGGGATGGGTGAGACACGGTTGATTGAGTGGAATCAGGAAGATGCAGCAGCAGAAGCAGCGGATAATTACTCACCTCCTCCCTCACTCTCTCTCATCCCCGCGCCTACTCCACCCTCCCTCCCCATACAACCTCCCTCCCCTCCGTACCCCCACCCTCCCTCTCTACTTCCCCACCTTTCTCTCTCTCCCTCCCCTCCCCGGCCCCACCCTCCCTCTCTCCCTCCGCGCCAATCTCTCCCGCCTCCCTCTAGCAGGGTGCCAGGGTGCCCCTCTCTCCCGCCCCAACCATTCCCCTGGCACCCTGCTATGCCTCCCTGGCACCATCCACTCTTCCCATCCGGTCAACCCCCATACAGCCCCACGTTCCTCCCTCCTCCCAACATGACACCTGCTGACTTCCACAAGTTGATGCAGCGCCAGATAATGCCTCCCCTTGGCTGGGGACAGATACCACCTGCTCTGGGATCGGGTCAGATACCACCTCCCCCTGGCTGGGGACAGGGTTGGGGATGGTGGGGAGGTGCAGGCAGGGGCAGGGGCGGGGAGGAGGAAGAGGACGGCCGAGAGGGAGTGAGGGGGGAGAGGAAGAGACAAAGGAGAGTCAGCTTCTGGGATGGGGGCGTTGCGAGGGGAGGTGGGGGGATGTGGGGGGAGGGAGGAGGGGTTGCAGTGGATGGGGGGATGGGGAACGGCGGGAGGAGGATGGACGGGCGGATGGGTGGACGGGTGCTGAAGGGGGAGGAAGAAGTGGAAAAGGTGAGTTACTGTTCGAGAGTTGGGTAGGGGAGCAGTGGAGCGGGGGAGAGTTACAGTTGGTAAAGAGAACTGCCAGAACTTGTGAGGGACAAGACGGATGTGCGTGTGGGTGGGTGGATCCGTCTACTCTACCTGCAGGACCCGCGTCGGCTGCGCTTTCGCCTCGCCTCGCCTCGCCTCACACTGGACTGCCGCGGACGCATCGCTCATGCCTGCAGGCGCGGACGCATCGCTCATGCCTGCAGGCGCGTACGCATCGCTCATGCCTGCAGGCGCAGACGGATCGCTCATGCCTGCAGGCACGTACGCATCGCTCATGCCTGCAGGCGTGTACACATCGCTCATGCCTGCAGGCGCGTACGCATCGCTCATGCCTGCAGGCGTGGACGCATCGCTCATGCCTGCAGGCGCGGACGCATCGCTCATGCCTGCAGGCGCGTACGCATCGCTCATGCCTGCAGGCGCGGACGCATCGCTCATGCCTGCAGGCGCGGACGCATCGCTCATGCCTGCAGGCGCGTACGCATCGCTCATGCCTGCAGGCGCAGACGGATCGCTCATGCCTGCAGGCACGTACGCATCGCTCATGCCTGCAGGCGTGTACACATCGCTCATGCCTGCAGGCGCGTACGCATCGCTCATGCCTGCAGGCGTGGACGCATCGCTCATGCCTGCAGGCGCGTACGCATCGCTCATGCCTGCAGGCGCAGACGCATCGCTCATGCCTGCAGGCGCGTACGCATCGCTCATGCCTGCAGGCGCGGACGCATCGCTCATGCCTGCAGGCGCGGACGCATCGCTCATGCCTGCAGGCGCGGACGCATCGCTCATGCCTGCAGGCGCGGACGCATGGCTCATGCCTGCAGGCGCGAACGCATCGCTCATGCCTGCAGGCGCGGACGCATCGCTCATGCCTGCAGGCGCGGACGCATCGCTCATGCCTGCACGTGCGGACGCATCGCTCATGCCTGCACGCGCGTACGCATCGCTCATGCCTGCAGGCGCAGACGCATCGCTCATGCCTGCAGGCGCGTACGCATCGCTCATGCCTGCAGGCGCGTACACATCGCTCATGCCTGCAGGCGCGTACGCATCGCTCATGCCTGCAGGCGCGGACGCATCGCTCATGCCTGCAGGCGCGTACGCATCGCTCATGCCTGCAGGCGCGTACGCATCGCTCATGCCTGCAGGCGCGTACGCATCGCTCATGCCTGCAGGGGCGTACACATCGCTCATGCCTGCAGGCGCGTACGCATCGCTCATGCCTGCAGGCGCGTACGCATCGCTCATGCCTGCAGGCGCAGATGCATCGCTCATGCCTGCAGGCGCGTACGCATCGCTCATGCCTGCAGGCGCGTACACATCGCTCATGCCTGCAGGCGCGGACGCATCGCTCATGCCTGCAGGCGCGTACGCATCGCTCATGCCTGCAGGCGCGTACGCATCGCTCATGCCTGCAGGCGCGTACGCATCGCTCATGCCTGCAGGCGCGTACACATCGCTCATGCCTGCAGGCGCGTACGCATCGCTCATGCCTGCAGGCGCGTACGCATCGCTCATGCCTGCAGGCGCGTACACATCGCTCATGCCTGCAGGCGCGTACGCATCGCTCATGCCTGCAGGCGCGTACGCATCGCTCATGCCTGCAGGCGCAGACGCATCGCTCATGCCTGCAGGCGCGTACGCATCGCTCATGCCTGCAGGCGCGTACACATCGCTCATGCCTGCAGGCGCGTACGCATCGCTCATGCCTGCAGGCGCGTACGCATCGCTCATGCCTGCAGGCGCGGACGCATCGCTCATGCCTGCAGGCGCGTACGCATCGCTCATGCCTGCAGGCGCGTACGCATCGCTCATGCCTGCAGGCGCGTACGCATCGCTCATGCCTGCAGGCACGGACGCATCGCTCATGCCTGCAGGCGCGGACGCCTGACTTCTCTTCCTTTTCGCTGCCTCCCTTCCCCCCGCTACTTGCCCTCTCTCCTCTCCTCGTCTGCCCCTCTCCTGTGCTCCTTCCTACACGATTGATCCGCCTGTCGCAACTCTCTCTTTCCCACTTTCCTCCTTCTCTCCTCTCTGCACTCCCATGCAGGACCCTCGCCTCCTGCGCTCTCGCCTCACAGTGGACTGGCTTGTGCTCGTTGCCGAGACTCGCAGGCAGTGCATGGCCTCCGCCCCGCTGCACTCCCTGCGGTAGGGTTAACCCTCCCTCTAGAAGCCTGTTACTATATGTATACATGTTTATATGTATGTACATATATATACATATATTTTTGTTCTTTTGCTGGTGACGTTTTTACCTGTTGGCACTCTGGAAATCCGAGCTGCCTTTCCCTTGTGGTGTGTGCAGGGACCTGCAGGAGGGTGTGTGCAGGGACCTGCAGGAGGGTGTGGGGGAGGAGGAGGAGGAAAGGGGCAGCAGCGATCCAGGGACTGGCGGCAGGTGGGAGACTCAGGAGGACGAGGAGGACGACGAGGACGATTGGGAGGATATTCAAGAGCGAAGGGATGGAGGACAGAGGAGAGGGGGGAGAGGCAGTGGTAGGGGAGTGGAAGGGAGAGGAGGAAGAGGAAGCAGAGGAGGGAGAGGGGGAAACAGGGCGATGCGAGGAAGAGGGGGGAGCAGCAGGGGGAGAGGGCGAGGTGGAGGGAGGGGAGGGGTGAAGAGGCCGTTAGAGGCTCTTGCCCGCGCCAACCTTCCCAATCTCATCTTTGCCAAGATACCTGTGCGTGCGCCTTCTGTGCGCCTTCTGTGCGCCTGCGATGTGCCTTTGCATACCTCCTTACCCCTTTCCTTGTGTCTCTCCTCTGTCCACTCCACCTCGTTGCTTCTTCTCGTTGCTTCTTCTCGTTGCTTCTTCTCGTTGCTTCTCCTCGTTGCTTCTCCTCGTTGCTTCTCCTCGTTGCTTCTCCTCGTTGCTTCTCCTTGTTGCTTCTCCTTGTTGCTTCTCCTTGTGCCTCTGTGCCGTTGCCCCCCTCCCCCTCCACAACATCCCAACCACCGTTCCCCAGGGCCTTCAAGTCCACCTCTTCCCGCGCCTCCCCCCAGTTTCAGCCCCTGTTGCTGCAATCTCTCCCAACAGCGCCTTTGCTTTACACCCCAAGCCTTTCCTCCTTCCTCCCATTCCCCCCTCTCATCTCTGCCCCTCATCTCTGCCCTCTCTTCTGTACTCTTACCCTCTCTACTCTCTCACCAATCCCCCTCTACTCCCTTCCAGGGCGCCTTTGCCTTTACCCCAAGGCCCTTCCGAGCGCTGCAGCCACCACAGGAGGTGGCGCTGCGGGTGGAGGTGCCACAAGGAACGGATTGCCTGCTCTGTTTTCCTCTCAACCTCTACACACCATACCATACCCCTTTCTCCCGCGCCTGATCCCTCCCAGGGCGCCCTTATCTTCACCCCAAGCCCCTTCAGAGCGCTGCAGGCACAGCAGGAGTGGTGCTGCGATGCGAGTGGAGGTGCTTCAAGGGGTTGCCTTCCTTAAAGCCCTCGCACACCCCCTGCTCCCTTCCACTCACCACCCCCTCCACATACAATCTATTTCCTTCAGGGCGCCTTTGCCTTCACCCCAGGGCCCTTCAGAGCGCTGCAGGCACAGCAGGAGGTGGTGCTGGGAGTGGAGTGGAGGTGCTACATGGGACGGGTTGCCTTACCTGCGCTTATGCCCACTTTCCCCCTCTACTTCCCGTGTCACAAGGTTCGGGTTGCCTGCCCTGATGCCCCCTCTCCCCCTTTGCCCCCACCTCTACTCCCCCTCCCACCCTTTTTGGCTTTCCCCTTCAGGGCGCCTTTGCATTCACCCCAGGGCTTTCCAGAGTGCTGCAGCCACAGCAAGAGGTGGTGCTGCGGGTGGAAGTTTTACAACAGGAGAAGCGGCAGCTTAAAGTGAGTATTGAAACGGCTTGTAGAGGGGAAAGATTCCTGTTGAGTGAGTCATGAAATGGCATTGCAACGGTAGCAGGCACAGCAGGAGGTGGTGATGCGGGGTTTTTTTGAGAATTCTCAAAATCACCCAGCAGGCACAGCATGAGGTGGTGATGCGGGTGGAAGTGTTGCAGCAGGAGAAGTGGCAGCTGAAAGTGAGTTGGCAGTGCAGTGATTCAGCAGGTGGAGTGACAGCTCGGAATGATTACCGAGGTGGCTTGTAATGAGGATAGTAGCTTAAGGTGAGTGTCAAGTTCATCACATCTCGTAATGATCTTAGCTTGTGACATGTGCCCTGTAGCGAAGGCGGCTTATAGTGAGTTCAAGCAAGGCAGGTGAATGTGTCGAGCAGGTGGGACGCAGGTGAAGGTGTCGAGCAGGTGGGACGCAGGTGAAGATGAGAGGGAAGGCTTGAGTGACTTGATAAGAGCGAGTGCAAGGCAACACGCACAACTCACAGGACTCAGGGGGCGCATGTACTGCCTGCAGGGGGCGCATGTACTGCCTGCAGGGGGCGCATGTACTGCCTGCAGGGGGCGCATGTACTGCCTGCAGGGGGCGCATGTACTGCCTGCAGGGGGCGCATATACTGCCTGCAGGGGGCGCATATACTGCCTGCAAGGCAGGGCAGCACTACGAGGGCGAGGGAGCCAAGCACCCCGTTCCCCCATTCCATCCCGCCCTTTTACTTGACGGTCAACAGTAGTTCCCGGCACTGGGGAGTCAGTCCCTCACTCACTTGCGGCTCCAAGGGATAGCATCTACTCTGCCCTGAATCACGCGAGGGGCTCACAGATTCGCAAGGGAGGAGGGAGTCAAAGTGACAGATTCACGGATTCACCCCCTTGCCCTCCCGCCCCTGTTGTTGCGGGGACAGGAGGTTCTGTTGTTGCAGGGACAGGAGGTTCTGTTGTTGCAGGGACAGGAGGTTCTGTTGTTGCAGGGACAGGAGGTTCTGTTGTTGCAGGGACAGGAGGTTCTGTTGTTGCAGGGACAGGAGGTTCTGTTGTTGCAGGGACAGGAGGTTCTGGTGCTGGAAATGGAAAGCCTCAGGGAGTCAAACTCCCCGTTTCCCCCCTCACTTTCCGTGCCCGTTCTTCCATCTCAGGGACAGGAGTTTCTGGTTCTGGGTAGTCAGCCCCTGGCGGCTTTAAGGGATCGCATATACTGCCTGCAGGACAGGAGCGCGAGGGAGGAGGGAGTCACATGCTTGTTTGCCCACTTCCCCTTCATCACCTGTCACTCCAGGGGCAGGAGTTCCTAGTGCTAGGCAGCCAGCCGCTCACAGCCTTGAGGGACTGCATGTACTGCCTGCACGACAGGATCGCGAGGGAGGGGGTAGTCACACTCCTGTTCTCTTCCCGTGCCTGTTCTGCCTTCCCCTCCCTTACTTTCCATCTCAGGGGCAAGAGTTCCTAGTGCTGGGCAGCCAGCCGCTCACAGCCTTGAGGGACCGCATATACTGCCTGCACGACAGGATCGCGAGGGAGGGGGTAGTCACACTCCTGTTCTCTTCCCGTGCCTGTTCTGCCTTCCCCTCCCTTACTTTCCATCTCAGGGGCAAGAGTTCCTAGTGCTGGGCAGCCAGCCGCTCACAGCCTTGAGGGACCGCATCTACTGCCTCCAGGACAGGATCGCGAGGGAGCATGGCAAGTCGGTGCCGTCTGGGTGCTTCTGTATCGAGGTGAGGGTGAATGGGGCGGAGATAGGAGGTCCTCAGGATGCTTGTGCATTGAGGCGAGGGCGATGAGGGGGGAGATGGATAGAGGGTCATTGGAAGATGCAATTGGAAGATGCAATTGGAAGATGCAATTGGAAGATGCAATTGGAAGATGCAATTGGAAGATGCGATTGGAAGATGCAATTGGAAGATGCGATTGGAAGATGCGATTGGAAGATGCAATTGGAAGATGCAATTGGAAGATGCAATTGGAAGATGCGATTGGAAGATGCAATTGGAAGATGCAATTGGAAGATGCGATTGGAAGATGCAATTGGAAGATGCAATTGGAAGATGCAATTGGAAGATGCAATTGGAAGATGCGATTGGAAGATGCAATTGGAAGATGCGATTGGAAGATGCGATTGGAAGATGCAATTGGAAGATGCTATTGGAAGATGCAATTGGAAGATGCGATTGGAAGATGCAATTGGAAGATGCGATTGGAAGATGCGATTGGAAGATGCAATTGGAAGATGCAATTGGAAGATGCAATTGGAAGATGCGATTGGAAGATGCAATTGGAAGATGCAATTGGAAGATGCGATTGGAAGATGCAATTGGAAGATGCGATTGGAAGATGCGATTGGAAGATGCAATTGGAAGATGCGATTGGAAGATGCAATTGGAAGATGCGATTGGAAGATGCAATTGGAAGATGCGATTGGAAGATGCAATTGGAAGATGCAATTGGAAGATGCAATTGGAAGATGCAATTGGAAGATGCAATTGGAAGATGCGATTGGAAGATGCAATTGGAAGATGCTATTGGAAGATGCAATTGGAAGATGCAATTGGAAGATGCAATTGGAAGATGCAATCGGAAGATGCAATTGGAAGATGCAATTGGAAGATGCGATTGGAAGATGCGATTGGAAGATGCAATTGGAAGATGCGATTGGAAGATGCAATTGGAAGATGCGATTGGAAGATGCAATTGGAAGATGCGATTGGAAGATGCGATTGGAAGATGCGATTGGAAGATGCAATTGGAAGATGCGATTGGAAGATGCAATTGGAAGATGCGATTGGAAGATGCAATTGGAAGATGCGATTGGAAGATGCAATTGGAAGATGCAATTGGAAGATGCGATTGAGGTGGGGGTGAGGGGAGTGCAGGGATGGGATTGCAATGGAGGATGGCAAGGCGGTGCTGTTTGGCAAGGCGGAGCTGTTTGAGGAGAGTGATGGGAGGGAGATAGGAGATCTTTGGAAAGGGGGGAGAGTGAAGGGGGAAGTGCGGGGACAGGATCGCGAGGGAACACGGCACGTCGGTGCCATTTGGGTGCTTCTGCATTGAAGTGAGGGTGAAAAAGGGGAAGGAAGGAGGTGAGGGTGAAAAGGGGGAAGGAAGGAGGTGAGGATGAAAAAGGGGAAGGAAGGAGGTGAGGATGAAAAAGGGGAAGGAAGGAGGTGAGGATGAAAAAGGGGAAGGAAGGAGGTGAGGATGAAAAAGGGGAAGGAAGGAGGTGAGGGTGAAAAGGGGGAAGGAAGAAGGTGAGGATGAAAAAGGGGAAGGAAGGAGGTGAGGATGAAAAAGGGGAAGGAAGGAGGTGAGGATGAAAAAGGGGAAGGAAGGAGGTGAGGATGAAAAAGGGGAAGGAAGGAGGTGAGGATGAAAAAGGGGAAGGAAGGAGGTGAGGGTGTGGGGGGAAGGAAGGAGGTGAGAGTGAGGTGGGGGGGAGGGAAGAGGTGGTGATTGAGGCAATGCTTTTCCCCACCCCAGCTCACAATCTGCACTGTAGCTTCCTTGGGAGCTGCTTTGAGAACCTATAAAAATACTATCACTGTACCTTGGGCAAGTGACATGTCGCCTATCTATTGTCGTCCTGGGTGAGGGCAAGTAACAGAAACATTTATCGTGCAATTGTATTACCAGATAGGTCAGATTACCTGGAACAGCCGATGCAAGAAACCAGAAAAGCCTTTTTTTAGAGTTTGCATGTTAGTCTTGCAGCTTTTCTACCGTCCCTGCATGTCTCCATTCCCCGTGCCATGACACCTCATCACCACATGCCATGACACCTCATCACCACATGCCATGACACCTCATCACCACATGCCATGACACCTCATCACCACATGCCATGACACCTCATCACCACATGCCTCATCACCACATGCCTCATCACCACATGCCTCATCACCACATGCCTCATCACCACATGCCTCATCACCACATGCCTCATCACCACATGCCTCATCACCACATGCCTCATCACCACATGCCTCATCACCACATGCCTCATCACCACATGCCTCATCACCACATGCCTCATCACCACATGCCTCATCACCACATGCCTCTCACTCGTCTCAAACCAGCAGAACAACTGTCGGTCTTCTCCCCTTCTCGTCTCATGCTTCTCCTCCCCTCATGTGCTCCTCTTTCCCTCTCACACACCCCTCCCCCTCCCCAGGACGTTTTCTATGATGACATGCGGCAGCCCAGTGCAGTGCGGTACAGTGCGGTGATCGTCAAGTGGAACAGGGAGAAGCGGGCGGCATGGTCAATGCTGGACGAGAGGGAGCGCCGCCGCCACACCCCCCTCGCCCGCCTGCCCCTGCCCGCGCCCGTGCGCGGCATGGCACTGGGTGGCATAGGATCAATGGGACCAATGGGATCTATGGGAACCAGCCACACGTTTCAAGAGGATGGGGACCGTTTCGGTCAGCAGCAGCACGAGCATCAGCAGTACCACCAGGTGCATCACCATCAGCAGCAGCAGAGGGTGCGGCTGAGTCTAGGGGACGCCCCTCCCCCGGAGTACTCGTCTGCACGAATGGAAACGACCCGGTTCAGAGACCTCACTGTGCGGCCAGGGGCTCTTTATGTGTACATGCACCAGGTGAGTTACCATGTTATCATGTTACATCCACCAGGTGAGTTACCATGTTATCATGTTACATGCACCAGGTGAGTTACCATGTTATCATGTTACATGCACCAGGTGGGTGTTACTGCGTTACATGCACCATTAGTCTGCTACTATGTTACATGCAACAGGTATGCGTTCCTGTGTTATATGCAACAGCGGTTCGTTACTGTGTTACATGCCACAGGTACTGTGTTACATGCACCAGGTGTGTGTTACTGTGTTACCATGTCACACGGTTCAGAGACCTGAGTGTGCGGCCAGGAGCGCTCTACGTGTACATGCACTGGTTGGATTGCCTGCAGCAAGTGGGTTACATGCAGCCCATGTGTTTGTTAAATGCATCAGGTGAGTAACACGCAGCACAAGTGTGTGTTGTATGCACCGGGGGCGTTACATCCACCGCGCGTGTTACCATATTACAGTCTCACCACGTGTGTCTCATGCAAAAGGTGGCTGGCCCTTTTCTGCATCCCCCCTTCTTCCATTCCCACTTCTCCCTCAGCTTCAACCTCCAACACATGGTGTCTTCATCATACTCCTCTTTCTCACCCTTATCCTTCAATTCATTCCCATTCGCTCTGCTCTGCTCCCGCATTGTCCCCTACTCCCACCAGGGTGCATGCAAGCATGCCTTTCGCATCACTGACATTCGCCTGCTGCACCCTCTGGACGCCCTCAATGCCTCCGAATACCCCCTTCTCTCGCACGAGCCACGCTGCTACCTGCGCCGCTGCAGTGTGTGCGATGTGAACGCAAGCACACGAGTGGTGTACCATGATAAATTGCTCGCTGTTGACCCGTCCTTTCTGTGTGAGCAGTGTTACCACCTGTTACATTATGATGAGGAGGGCAATCTGTTGTATAGTGATTTCCAAGTGTACAATTACTATCATGAATAAACAGTACTGTACGGCCTATCTCTTGTGTTTCCTTCTACGTTGGTATATTTCGCATCAACAAAGGGTTGAGATAGAGGGGGTTGGAGCTGTTGGAAACAATTGATTTAAGTGCCCCTGTCGTGTCGAAACACCAAGTCAGAAGCGAAGCACAACATATCGAAGCGTCAGCGAGTCAACCCTCGGAGGTTGAGCAACTGCAGGAGGTTACGCGAATGTCAAAGGTCAGCAACCTTTGACCTGACAAGTACAGCGTGACAACAAGGACAAACAACTGACTCGCTATTGAGCAGTTGCCCGAGTCATCACTGTATTGAACCGCAACAGCAACAGCAAAACAGTTATTAGTTATAACTCTTCATATTTCCTTGTACTTTTATAAAAGCTTGTATCTCTTTATTATTAATCAATCTACTTTGCCCTCACATACTAGCGCAAGGTGGTTCACAACTCTTCATTAAACGCTTCCGCTATTACATCAGTCCTACCAGGAGATAAGTTCTGCAAAGATCCTAAGGGCTTTCTCAGCCCAACATGGTATGAGAGTTGTCAGGACAAATTCCACTATCAAGACACCCACAACATCAGAAAGCATGGCTACTCAGAAGGAAAGGAGTTCCTCTAATGGCTCTCCCAGCACTACCCCTACTCCACCTCCTGCCTCTGGCCTACAGACAGAGCAGGGCACGGCGACAAGACCAGTAGCAGAGTCCACTGAAACTCCTGCGAATAAACCTGCAGACTTTGACCAGAACATGATGGAGAAGTTCTTCTCCTTCATGTCCTTCTACGAGCAACACCAGCAGTCGGCACCTGCGCAGTCAAACATCAACAACAACAACAACAACGACGTGACACCCATGAGCCTCGACCGCTCATCCTACGCACGCGGAAATCAACAGCAGCAGCCTACCTTTGCTCTGTACGAGCCCCAGCATGGCTCCGTCAGCTTTATGCCACAACCACAGCCTGCACCTAGACAAGAGAAGACACTGGACGGACTTCAAGTTCAGTCGCAGTTCGCGCACGTCTTAAAATTGCAAACGTCAAAGCCTTTCGACGGGAAAGACTTCTTTACCTGGTCGTTCGAATTCGAACTAATGATGGAAGGCGCGCAGATTCTTGGCTTCTTCGACGGGTCCCTGCAATACCCAACACACGGCACACAGTACGACAAGCAGCAGTACACGTATCAGTCAATGATGGCGTACACAATACTACTGAGAAACATCACTCCAAATCAGCAGCAGAATATACAGTCTTACCAGGGATACGGCAACTCTACAGAGCTCGCGTACAACCACCTGAAGAACCTGTATCAAGCAACAGACAGCGTCAATCAAAGTCGGTTAATGGCACAACTGACAACAGTCGAAATGAAACCAGGCAAAAAGGGGATGGCGTATATCAGCCGCTGTCGCGAATTGCGCGACAAACTCCTTCTATGCGGAGGATCGATTTCAGAAGACTGCCTTCGTCACAGTCATCATCGGCGGCCTTGCTCCTCAGTGGCGCTCCACTCGCGCCATACTCCGAGCTCACGGAAAAATATCAGAAGCAGCACTCTGTGCCGAGATCCACGCTAAACAGCAAGATATGGACCTGCAAGAAGAACGACACAAGAGGAAGGCATTAGTGTCCGAATTCGCATTCCACACTCAACGGCGCTACAACAACAACAACAATCAGCATTAACCGGAACCAGTACCTCCGTTTTGTCACCTTTGTAAGATGTCAGGTCACCCCCGTACACACTGCCCAAACCGGCAGCAGTTAACGCCAACGCAGCGGCCCCTTCTCCCTTCGAGCAGTCAAGTCGCCTCAACGCAAGCGAACCCGACCACTCAAGTACAAGCCTCAACAACATCGACGGGACAACCTGCGCAAGGAACAAGAAACATCGTCAGTTGCATGGCACGGCTGACCGACTCCTGCATCACAAAGTCACCACCGCATTACTCACCGGAAGAGCAACTCGACAACAGCATGCCTTGCCGCGAGTCATTTCAACCAAATCCGACGTATGCAGCCATCGCTCAAAGCGAGCCGTCTGAAAAAGATATGTGGTTCTTGGACAGCTGCTATGGACAGCACATGTGCTCTTCAGGACGCTTTGTTCAACGCGAACACCAACTTCAACGCGAGGTCGTCATCACCGTCGCCAACAATCAGAACCTGCGCACACGACGACAAGGCGTAGTGCAACTTCAGTCACGAGGGACAAACATCATACTGCAAATGTCAAAGGTTTTAATAGCAGAAGGGCTCGGTTACAACTTACTGAGCGTCAGTCAACTGATGGCGAAGGGCATACACCTCGAAGCAGATAGTGTCAAATGTAGTGAGGTTTGTCTTAGGGGGTACAGAAGTTAGGGTTTGTCATATGTACCCCAACCAACATCAATGGATCACCCATTCCTCATTCTGACATGGTATCAGCTAGGTTAGGATCCTGTGGGATCCCGTTCCTCCGTTCTCCGTTCGTACCTCCCGAGCCTGATCCTACCTCTCGTTCGTACCAGTTCCGTTGTTACCGCGCCTAGTACCGAGCCTAGCGCCCTTTCCCCCGTCGCTTAGCGCCCTTTCTCCCCGTCACCTAGCCCCCCCCCCCCCCCCCCCCCCGTCGCGTCGCGCCCTTTCCCCCCATCGCGTCACGCCCTTTCCCCCCGTCGCGTCGCGCCCGTTCCCCCCGTCGCGTCGTGCCCGCCTGTTCCCCCCCCCCGTCCCGTCGCCCTGTCCCGTCGCGTCGCCCTACCCCGTCGCGTCGCCCTGCCCCGTCCCGTCGCCCTGCCCCGTCGCGCCGCCCTGCCCCGTTGCATCGCCCTGTCCCGTCGCGTCGCCCTGCCCCGTCGCGTCGCTCCCGCCCTTTCCCCCGTCGCGTCGCCCGGCCCTACGCCCTGGCCCGTCGCCCTGCCCTAAGCCCTGGCCCGTCGCCCTGCCCTAAGCCCTGGCCCGTCGCCCTACCCTAGGCCCTGGCCCGTCGCCCTCCCTAAGTCCTGGCCCGTCGCCCTACCCTAGGCCCTGGCCCGTCGCCCTACCCTAGGCCCTGGCCCGTCGCCCTACCCTAGGCCCTGGCCCGTCGCCCTACCCTAGGCTCTGGCCCGTTGCCCTCCCTAAGCCCTGGCCCGTCGCCCTACCCTAGGCCCTGGCCCGTTGCCCTACCCTACGTCCTGGCCCGTCGCCCTAGCCCGCTCTTCCGTTGCGACTGAGTCCTCTTCCCCCCCGGTTGTTACTCGCCTGTTCGTTCGCTTTAGTCCTCACTATGGCGACTCCGCGAGTTCTTCGTTTCGACGCTGACGGTAGACCCCTTGACTTTTCCGTCTGGCTTCTTCGCGCTCGCCGTCTGTTAGAGAGTCAGGTCCAGGGGGGCGAGACCCTCTGGTCACACGCTACTGGTGACCTCCCTGAGCCCCCCGAGCCTACAGCTTTAGGCCCTGCTCCTGACGACGCTGCTACGGCTCGCTTTGCCCGTCAGCGCGCTGACCGGACGACTTGGACGTCGCGTGACGCTGCGGCCTGCATCGCACTCAGCAGCCTCCTCCCTGGGTCCGAGGAGGTCCACTTTACTCAGGTTCGCACCGCTGCTGCGTACCTCACTGCGATTAAGGCCCGCTACTCTACTCCCGCTACTGTCTCTCTTGGCCGTCTTTTCCTCCCGTTCCTGTTTCCTGATCTTGCCTCGTTTGAGCGCTCTGCTGACTTGATCGCTCACCTCCGCTCGCTCGACGCTAGTTACCGCGCTGCTTGCACTGAGGCACAGCTTACACTGCTTCCTCCCCCCATGGCGATCACTGTCTATTTCATCGCCACTAGCCTCCCTGACCGCCTTGCCTCCGTTCGTGACGTGCTTCTGCTGAAGCACCCTAGTGAGCTGACTATCGAGGTCCTTGAGTCTGCACTCAAGGACGTCGAGAGCAACCTTCGTTCGGTAGCTGCCGCCTCTGGTACTGTGTCCCCCCCACTCTTCCACGGGTGCACAGTCCCGCAGTTACCCACCTTCACTGCCTCTCTTGCCAGTGCCACTACTGACGCGACTGCGTCGCGGTCCCGCGGCAGGGTGGGCAAGAAAGGTGGTTCTGGTGGAGGTGGAGGCGGAGGTAGCGGAGGTAGTGGGGGTGCTGTTGCGACTGGGGGTGGTGGGAGTGCAGCGTCTGGAGAGACCCCTCGTGCAGCGGCTGGTGACTCCACTGCACCTGCTGGTGGCGGCGACCCCCGAGCTCGTCAGTCGCCTCCTGTACTGCCGGCCCCGCTAGGTGGAGCAGCGGCGTGGTACCAGGCTCAGCGTCAGCAGCACCTTGAGCAGCAGCAGCAGCCCCTTTCCTCCCAGCAGCCTCAGCAGCAGCAGCGTCAGCAGCTGGCTCCGGGGTCGGGGCTGCGTCAGCCCCAGCGCGGTGCGGCTTACCCTCCCTGCCCCTACCAGGTTCAGACAAGTCCTCGTCGGGGCCACCCTTGTGGCCGCTTTCACCCCCCTGGTCAGTGCTTTGCTCAGCTCACTGACACGGTCCGGTTGACCTACGGGGTTGGCGGTCCTGCTCCTGACTGGCTTCCTCTGGTTCAGCGCTACGGCTCCGCTCTGTGGGGCATGTCTGCTGAGTAGTTAGTTGATCTGATTAGTGCTCCTCATGCTATGTATGCTGTTGTTGACTCTAGTGTTTCTGACTCTGTTTACTCTGGTGTTGTTAGCTTAGGTGCTAGTCTTGCTCAGTTGCCTGTTGCTAGTGTAGGTACTTGTGTAGACTCTAGACCAGCGAATACCTCAGGGGACGCTTCGCTGTCGTTCACACTGGACTCTGGAGCCTCCCTCTGCTTCTTCCGGGACAGCACGACACTTACACCACTTCCTGCGCCTGTTTCTGTAGCGTTGGCTGATCCCACTACGGGACCAGTCACTGCACGTCACACTACCACTTTACCGTGTCCTGCTGCTCCCTCCGGGTCTCTCACTGGGTTTCACATCCCCTCGTTCTCCCGGAACTTGGTGGGCGTGCGACCCCTCGTGAGTC